TGGTGCTGAGGAAACAGAATATCCATATGCAGAAGAGTAAAACTAGGCCCCAACTTTCCCCATATAAAAATTAAATCAAGATAGATTAAAGATTTACATCTAAGATCTCAAAATATGCAAGTACTACAAGAAAACATTGGAGAAACTCTCCAGGATACTGGAGTGGGCAAAGACTTCTTGTGGCAAAGACCACATAGGCACAAGCAACCAAAGCAAACATGAATAAATGGGATCAAGTTAAAGAGCTAAAGCTCTTTAAAAAGTTAAAAAGCTTCTGTAGTGAAGGAAACAACAAAGAGACAACCCACAGAATGGGAAAAAACATTTGCAAACCATCCATCTGATAAAGGATTAATAACCAGAATATATAAGGAGCTCAAACTACTCCACAAGGAAAAAAAATTAATAATTCAATAAAAATGGGCAAAAGATCTGAATAGACATTTCTCAAAAGGCATACAAATGGCAAACAGGTATATGAAAAGGTACTCAAAATCACTGATCATCAGAGAAATGCAAATCAAAACTACAGGGAGGTAGTTTTGACTACATCTCACTCCAGCTAAAATGGCTTTTATCCAAAAGACAGGAGACAACAAATGCAGCCGAAGATGTGGAGAAAGGGGAACACTTGTGCATGGTTGGTGGGAATGTAAATTAGTACACCCACTAAGGAGAATAGTTTGGAGATGCCTCAGAAAACTAAAAATAGAGCTACCATACAATCCAGCAATCCCACTACTAGGTATAGACCCAAAGGAAATCAGTAAATTGAAGATATATCTGCACTTCGTTTGTTGCAGCACTATATAAAATAGCCAAGATTTGGGAGCAACCTATGTGTCCATCAACAGATGAATGGATAAAGAAATGGTATATACACACAATGGAGTATCATTGAGACACACACAAAAGAATGAAATCCTGCCATTTGCTATAACATGGATGGAACTGGAGGTTAAGTGAAATAAGCCATTTACGCAAAGACAAACATTGTATGTTTTCACTTCTCTGTGGGAGCTAAAAATGAAAACTGAACTCATGGTGACACAAAGTAGAAAGATGGTTACTAGAGGCTGGGAAAGGTAGTTGAGGTGGAGGGGGATGGTTAATGAGTACAAAAAACAGAAAGAATAAATAAGGCTGAGTGCGATGGCTCACACCTGTAATCCCAGCACTTTGGGAGGCCAAGATGGGCAGATCACTTGAGGCCAGGAGTTTGAGACCAGCCTGGCCAACATGTCAAAATCTCATCTCTATTAAAAAAAAATACAAAAATTAGCTGAGCCTGGTGGCATGCACCTATATAGTCCCAGGTGCTCCAGAGGCTGAGGTGGAGGATCACTTAAGCCTAGGGAGGCGGAGGCTATAGTCAACTAAGGTAGTGTCACTGTACCCCAGCCTGGGTAACAGAAGGAGATCTTGCTTAAAAAAATTTTAATTGTACATTTAAAAATAATATGAAGAGTGTAACTGGACTGTTTGAAACACAAAGGACAAATCTTTGAGGTGATGAATACCCAATTTACCCCGATGTGATTGTCACACATTACATGCCTGTATCAAAATATCACATGTAACCCACAAATATATACACCAAGTACACACACACACACACACACACACTCCTTTGAGACTTCCCCTATTTGAATATACACTTTGAAGTAAGTGTTACTACATGAGCCTGAAACATCTTGACATACAGATAACCACAAGAGTTGTTTAAAAGAAATGAGAAGTCCAATCAAACGTGGGACATATGAGCATCAATAACATTAATAATTCAGAGGTTTCAAACATCAAATATGTTAAAATTTCACTAAGAAAAAAATTTATCACAGTTGGTAGATGCCAAAGCAACTCATTCTGAAAAAATTGATAGGTAAAGGAAAAGCATCACATATCTGTATCTTTCTTACACAAACCATACCACTACCAAATAGCAGATGAGGGGGAATTTCTCTTTGCAGAGAAATGTTCTTGGCTTATACATGAAGAAGGAATATAGAATTAAGATATCATTATTTTGCCACACCTAATAAATAAGTGGATCAAAACTAAGCATCAACTGCTACTCAAATCCCAGAGAAAGCAATCAGTTTGTGCCTCCTGATCAGGAAGACCACATCACTACCTAAAGTGGTCTTGTCAAAAAGAAAGGAAAAAGAAAAAAAGAAAGAAAAAAATCTCTAATCAAATATCCATATTTACTTATTAATTTATAAGCTACAGAGAGGGCAAGAACATGTTAAAGGTACTACAGGGTTGCAAGCAACAAAGTCAGACTGGGGAAACCTGTCAGCAGTGCTTCTCCAACTATGTGCTTTCTCAGTTTTGTTTCTTTTTCTCCCTAATTTTCAATTCACTATAGACCAATAATAAAAAATACACATACAAAAAAAGAAATTATAAAACACATACACACACACAAAAACATACAAACCCCATTTTTTCTGTTAGATTCAACAGACAAACATAAAATCACTGTCAAATTGTTTCCAGCAACTCTCAATAAACTGCTTCCAAGTATGTGGACTGACACTGCACTGGGTCCAAAGACATTTTGAGCAGCACTGCTTGGGAGAACCAAGTATCTAGTTTCTTTATCAAATAAATTACAAGGGGGGGGAAGAGAGAGAGAGAAAAAGAAACCTATATATTCAAAATAGTGTATTTTAAAAGATGTACCAGCCAGTCACAATGTATGGATCTTATCTGAATCTGGATTCAGGCACAGTAAAGCAACAACCACAAAAAACCCATTTATGAAACAGTTAAAAATCTGAACCAAATTATTATTTAAATAAATATTTTTAATGGTACTGGTTATATTAAAAAAGAACCCTTACATTTTATGTACACAATGAACAATTAACTAGTAAAACATGCTGAGATTTACTTTAAAGTAATACATGAGGGTTGAGAGTGGAGACACACACAAACACAAACTGGCCTTGAGTTGATAATTACTGACACTAATTAGTGTATGTGTAATTATCCCATTCTGTCTTAATATGCTTGACATTTTCCATAATCAAATAACAAATTAGTAAAACTAAAAACTTAAGTTTTAAAAACCTGACTGCCCTCCTATAAATGTTTTTTAAAGAAGGATTAAAAAGAAGCAATTTTGGAGAGGCAAGTTTCCACAGCATTCTAATACCAAAAGGGCAATAAAATCTAAAAACTTAGAGCGATCATATTGAATGTAATCTTTTTTTTGCCTTGGAGTCTGGATGCTGTTAACAATAGAAAATTAAGTCAGCTGCAATCCTAATTATATCCTTCAATCAACTAATAAGCAAACTGCTATGTATATGATGTTCTATATGTGTGACTGAAGGAGGGAAATTTTCTGAAAACATCAAGAACAATACTAAAATTATATGCAAAGAGCATGTTTATTTTCAGAAAATCTCATAAAAATCTTTTGTATTTGGAGCCCTAAGGTAAAAATTACCAGCATTAAGTGTAAAAAGTCCCAGAGAGAAACATTTATTTACAATGTATAATTAAGTCAACATCTGTCACTAGGATAAAACAGAAAAATCACCCCTACAATTTTTATGCCTTAGCAGCAGCTCCTTTCATTCTAATTTAGAATCCCAATTTCAGAAGATTGATTCAGACCAGATTAAAGAAGCTTATAACTTCCCCAGTTGTAAAAGTTCCAAAAGCAAGCTGAGGAGAAAGGAAGATTCTTTAAAAGTAAGATTCTTGGCTGGGCGCGGTGGCTCAAGCCTATAATCCCAGCACTTTGGGAGGCCGAGGTGGGTGGATCATGAGGTCAAGATATCGAGACCATCCTGGTTGAAATGGTGAAACCCCGTCTCTACTAAAGATACAAAAAATTAGCTGGGCATGGTGGCGACTGCCTGTAATCCCAGCTACTCAGGAGGCCGAGGCAGGAGAATTGCCTGAACCCAGGAGGCGGAGGTTGCGGTGAGCCAAGATCGCGCCATTGCACTCCAGCCTGGGTAACAAGAGCGAAACTCCGTCTCAAAAAAAAAAAAAAAAGTAAGATTCTTATTCACTATGACTGTGCTTCTTTAGTTTACAGGCACTTACTGTCTAATCTTTTAATAGCTCTTCTCCCTCTTATTATCCGGATTTACCTATATGGTTTTAATTACAACAGACTCGACAGCAAGCCACTCCTCTATCTCACCCTCTTGTCTGTGACTTGTAGTATTCTGTAATTTTATTCAGGAAGTGGTAAGTCTGAACTAAGCATGCACCGAGTTTCACGTGAAGTGACAAAGAGGTGCTGCCTTTTGTTCTCCACACCACTTCTTGTTGACTGTGAGGTCACTCTTGTTCTGTGCTGGAAATAAGAGATCTAAAAGAGGTAGGGTTTTTTTTTCTTGTTGTTCCCTTCCATTCATCCTGTTTATTATTAATTGGTACACTCTATCTGGAGGCATCAAATACTAAAACAATCTGAAGTAAGCAGACTTATGTCTGAAGAATGGCCCAATCTAAAAACTTAAAAGTATAGGGCTAGGTCCATCACCTATTGGCCATTCAATTATTTTTTTGTGCGTTTAAAACTTCTTATAAACATATTCAACTGTAATTCAAATGGTTTGAAAAGCCACTCTGGTGGCCCACAAGAAGTAATGCTGCTCTATAGATTCAAGCTAATAGTAAATGACTAGCTTGGTGTTACCTTAAATGGGTTCTGGTAGAACAGCAGGTGTTAACCAGAAGCAGAATAAATAACTTTATAACACATATAAAAATCAAGCAGTTTCATTCAAACCTATCTGGGCAAATGTGCTGTAATCTAAATTTATCCAGAAAAAAATGAGAATTTTAAGAAACCCATGACCTGTATATATACATGAATGGCTGAAGCAAAGTAAAACACTGTCATGCTATGAGTTCCAGTGATACATGAAGAATCCCCAAACATCTGAAATCACAGGAGTTGTAGTGAAAAAACTTGTCTGCAATCAGAGGCAAGGAAGTCTTTAATAAATCAGCCACAAACACAGATGGTATTTTAAATATACAGTAGGAACATTTATTTTAACACTTCTAAAAGATATTTCTCCATGCCTGATGATTTGATATAAAAATCAAACCCATCATACTTTCCCCATCAGTCTCTCTACATCAAGGGTAATCAGAAATTTGTACAACACGAGTATTTGCTTCTGAAATGAAAATTACAAATTAAATGATAACAAAAATACACAAATCAACTGGACCCTAAACAAATTTCTAGTGAATTCTTTCCCCTTTCCCCCAATCACCTACAGCTTCTTTCTTCAGCCTCATTCTGTTCCTTTTCCTTTCTTTGCTTGGCCATGAATTTCTGTTAAAAGCAATTGGCAACATGAAATACTTATTAGATGTTGTTTTGCTATGTGTACAAACTTATCTACTGTATATCATTGTATTTATAATTTAAGAGACTGATCCTACAAAATAATTATTATAAACACAGGGCCTTATATGAACATTTCTTCCTTTCATTCATCAGTCATCTGATGTTTACAGTATACCAGGTATATGCTTGGTGCCTGAGGATTCGATGGGCAACAAGACAGTTAGGATCTTTTATACCATAGAACTTACATTCTAATGGGAGAAAAAAAAAAACAATGAAAGAAAAAAATAAAATAACTTGGGGGGGTGGTTAAGCACTTTAAAAAGAATGCAACAAGTAATTGAGGTTGAACTTTTTTAGGGGTTCTACTTAGCTAAGTCTTTCTAATGCAAAGACCTTTCTGGGGAACTGACACGAGTTGAGATGAAAAACATGAGAAAGAACTGGCCATGCAAGTAGGATTGGGAAGGGGCAAAAGAACAGGAATATAAAGGTGCAAAGGCAGCAACATGCCTCTTATGTATGAAAAATGAAACAAAGAGAGCCAGAAAAGCTGGAACACAGAAAGCAACTAAAAAAACTGAGTTCAGAGAAGTAGAAAAGAATCAGATCATGCAGGGCTCTGGGCCCAAAAGAAGAAGTTTGGGTATTAGACCAACTGCAATATGAAGCTACTAGAAGACTGTAAATAGAAAAGTGACATGATAAACTAAGTTAAGCACACAGGTAGCAAAGCACAATGTATAAGAACTTGGGCCTAGAATGAAATAGTGCTGAGTTCAAATCCTAGGTCTACTACTAACTAGCTATGTGACCTTGGGTTTAGATACATAACCTCCTTAAGTCTATTTTCTCATCTTTAAAATTGGAATAATAGCATCTACCTCATAAAGTTGATGAGGAGATTAAATAAGCTTCCAGCACAGAAGAGTTCAATAAATGTTAGATGAGTGTGCCACAAATTCAATAGAGAATATTTGATAATAAAATTATCAAAAATAAAATTATCAAATATTCAGCAGGAACTAGAACCACTGCTTCAATTATGGCTAATGATGATTCTCTAGAGTAATATTTCTTAAAGATGTGTACAATTTAAAAAAGGTTTTATGATTAAATGAATTTGACAAATGGGCTGCATAAAGTTAGGCTGGATTCGTTCTCACTAGACAATTCAGAAACTTTAATATGCTAACGTGTACATGACTGAAGAGGGCAACAAAATATGCAGTTTTTTACTTTAATAATGGAGTGTCGTATGAGACTAATGATCTGCAGAATCTACTCTGGCAAATGTTGCTGTTCAAAAAAAAGGAGTAAGGGCTAGACATTACTGGCAAGGTACACTGAAGGTAAAAACAGTATTCTGAATTTCAGCGGAATATACTGGCATAAAAACATTCACCTAAAGTGAGAAAAAAATGTTTGGGGTAGATAAATAATTTGATTCTAAGACAATAACACCACCTCAAGATTTTGTAAGAATTTTAAAAATTACCTCAGTATTTTGCTTATGACGTGTACTCTTGCAGTGATTTGTCATTGCTTTTTCACCTGAGTAGAAGAGGGAACAAATTGGACAGAAGAATCCAGCCTTAGGTACAAGAAAGTCTAATTCTAGAGGATAAGAAGAGGCAAGAGGAAAATTAGCAATAATTTATCTCCAGTGGTGTTCATCAATTTATTTATTTATTTGAGCCTGTCGTCCAGGCTGGAGTGCAGTGGCGCAATCTCAGCTCACTGCAACCCTCTGCCTCCTGGGTTCAAGTGATTCTCCTGCCTCAGCCTTTCGAGTAGCTGGGATTACAGGTGCATGCCACCATGCCCTGCTAATTTTGTATTCTTAGTAGAATACATTTTTACCATGTTGCCGAGGCTGGTCTCGAACTCCTGACCTCAGGTGATCTGCCCGCCTTGGCCTCCCAAAGTGCTGGGCTTACAGGTGTGAGCCACCATGCCTGGCCTCCATCAATTTATTTAAACATGACAAAAATATTAAGCATCGTATATACTGAAATACAAGCACAGTAGATACTGCTATTAATTTAGGGATCATAACTCTTTATTTCATTAACACATTCTATAATATTCTAGAGCCTCTAGGGAATGCCAGTATGCCACTGCTTTGGTATACTGTCAAGCTAAACAGATTCCCATGGAGCATCTTTAGATAACAAAGAACTGTTCAATAATCCTTCAGAATACCAAGTCATTAGATAAGAATCTAACAGTCTACAGTGGCTCAAGCCTGTAATCCCAGCACTTTGGGAGGCCGAGGTGGGCGGATCACGAGGTCAACAGATCGAGACCATCCTGGTCAACGTGGTGAAACCCCGTCTCTACTAAAAATACAAAAAATTAGCTGAGCATGGTGGCGTGTGCCTGTAATCCCAGCTACTCAGGAGGCTGAGGCAGGAGAATTGGCTGAACCCAGGAAGTGGAGGTTGCAGTGAGCCGAGATCGTGCCATTGCACTCCAGCCTGGGTAATAAGAGTGAAACTCCGTCTCAAAAAAAAAAAAAAAAAAGAGAGAATCTAACAGTCTAAAAGAAACCTCTGGCTGAGAGCTGTGGCTCAAGCCTGTAATCTCAGCATTTTGGGAGGCCAACACTGGCAGACTGCTTGAGCTCAAGGGTTTAAGACCAGCCTAAGCAACACTATGAAACCCCGTATCTACCGAAAATACAAAAATTAGCCAGGTGTGGTGGTAGACGCCTGTAGTCCCAGCTACTCAGCTACTCAGGAGGCTGAGGTGAGAGGACTGCTTGAGTCCAGGAAGAAGGGGCTGCAGTGAGCTGAGATCACACCACTGTACTCTAGCATAGGCAACAGAGTGAGACCCTATCTCAAAAAAAAATATAATAAAGTAAACCTCTTAGGAATCCCGTTAAAATACAAGAAAGAAAAGAGACGGAATGATGGGTAACTGTCTGATTGAGGAGTATGCTGGCTGAATAAGGTCACCCTCAGCTCACCTTAGCTTACTATGAACAAACTTGGCTAGCAAAGATTTTCAGCATGTTCTGCTTAGCTGGAGTGAGTTTCTGCCTGGGCAAGTATAACTAAATTCTCAACAGAGTGGCAAAGAAAGCTCCAGGAATAAAAGAGGAGATACATCCCAGATTTCAAATATGCAATAAAAATATCCTTCTCAGGTAAAAACAGCCCAGTCACCGCTGTCTTCAAAAATGCCACTGTGTAAAACATGCAAATTTCCACTATAAAATGACAATGCAGGCAAAATTACCCAATTACCAATCTAAACAATAGAACAGTTATTATGGTGTTGAATTTTTATTTCATGTGGATAAGAAAAAAATGTCATTTTAACTTTACCTTCAGGGACATCAGATGCCACTGATTTGCATAAAGAAGGGTCTTCAGTCTTCTTGCGTTTTCGCTCTGGTTCTGAATCCTTTAATCCAGATTCCTCATCAACTAAAATTTTTCAAGGGAAAAAAGCTATTCAGAATAGATTTACAGATTTTGTGAAGTTAACACTGGATAACTCTTACCTTAAAAAACTCAGAGGAACCCTCCCTTGGTTAATCCCATCTGACTATTCTTCACACAATGTTCTCCAAAATTCTTTGATGTAAGGAATAAATGGGTAAATCCATTCGAACGGATTTAGGAATATAAGCCTAAAGCTAACAGAAACTTTTATTTATATATGTTCCTGGCAAAATTTAAAAAGTAATACAAGTTGTTCAAGTCCTGTAGTTATTGGCAAGAGAACTCATATATGCAAAGTGCTGAGTTGAGCAGAGTGGAGATTAAGGAAAAAGGGTACCAGCAGAAATTGATTCTATGGCCCAATACTGGGGCCCTTCCAACCTAGAAAATTGAGCCTAAACTGATAGCCTAAGATCGCTGTTAAAATCACAAGTAAAATTAATACAAATATTAAAGTCCACCAAAGTGAATAACAAGAAGTACTCAATGTTAGCAGAATTTGCATACTACGATCTTGGGGACAGACAAAAACGAGGACTGGTTCCAAGTAATTCTGATTACCCTCAGTAGCTGGAACACTTTACTGTTAAATAATACTTGACAAATTCCTTTTACATATGTAATAATTGATTTAGCTTTCATCTCATGTAAGATAGGCAAGTCAAATCATTATTATCCCTATTTCTTCAGAGATGGAGAAAGCACAATCAAAAGAGGTAATAAACAGGTATGCCCAAGATTGCATGGCTAGTGAGTGACACAGGCTAGAACTAAGAATTTGTGACTTCAAGTTCAGTGTTCCCTCCTTATATCTGGGCTTTTTTTATTTGAGAAAGAGTCTCTCTGTTGCCCAGGCTGGAGTGCAGTGACATGATTTTGGCTCACTGCAACCTTGGCCTCCTTTTAAGAACTGCTTAAGGGTTTAAATAATTCTCCTGCCTCAGCCTCCTGAGTAGCTGGGGTTACAGGCACATGCCGCCACCCCTGGCTGATTTCTGTTTTTTTAGTAGAGACAGGGTTTCACCATGTCGGTCACGCTGGTCTTAAACTCCTGACCTCAGGTGATCCACCGCCTTGGCCTCCCGAAGTGCTGGGATTATAGGCATGAGCCACCAATGGTATGGAATACCAATTTGGTATTCCTGAGGGGATGGCTAGGAACTTTGAAGCCATTACTTACTCTTATTCCTCACATTTTACTGATCATCAAGTCCTAGAATCAGTTTTCTTAACTTGATGGTTAAAATAATCTGGTTTCCTTGCCTCCAATCTCTTCCTATAATTGTTTATTTCCTCATCAGAGCAATAAACTTTCTCAAACATATCTGTTTCTGCCACTCCAAAGGCACATTTATCTTAATAATATATAACATGTATTAAAATTATATAATTAAAATAGATTGAAATAAATGATTTCAGTTTACAATTATGTGGAAAATGACTTTTCCTTAAGCTAGGTTTTTTGTCAAACATACTGTTCATTAATAGAAACATATTGTTATGTAAGCAGTAACTAAATCATCCTTTTATATTACTCAGTTGAAATGAGATAGTTCTAAGCAAACTGACTGCCAAAGTTGCCCTACCATACAGAAATTCTGAAATCGGGGGGTGACCTCATGAAATCATGCGAGAACCTAAATACTAAACCACCACCTATAGTTTCACTATCAAAGATTGGTTATGAAAAAGAATAGACAAGGAAGAAGGAATACCCACTTGACCATGACTTGCAAAGAGTTTCAAGAAAAAGGACATAATCAAAAGTAACCAATCATGTAAAAAGTCAACTAAGAGTAACTTAAGAAGAAAAGACTTTAAAAAATCAAGTTTGGTAACAACCCAATGGGGGTACATCAACATCATTTTCAGGAAGGTAGTAGGAGAAAGACGACAAAATACATCGAGTTCAATGGGAAATTAAGATGTAGAAGTCAGTGGCTCTTTCTAGATGCTCTGCTTTAAAAGGAAGGAGAAAAGATAGGAGCTAGAGAGATTTCAAGGTCAAAGGGATATTATTTTCAATGGGAAAGACTTGGTCAAGTTTTGTGTTTGTAAAGTCAAATATAAGCTGGCAGACAAGGGAGACCCTAGATTTACTCTGGGAAATAAAAATGAAAGCAAGGACATCCAGTGAGAAATGGGCTAGGTGATGTAAAGGGAGAAAAGGCTAATTTTACATCTGGTTAGAAAAGAGTAAAGGAAGGAGACCTCTAATATATTGGGAGCAGTACTGACAGCCCACCTGAGATCAAATTCAATGAACTCCTTGGATGGAATCATAATTGATTAAATTTTCCTTAGAGACGGCAGGATAGGAAAAAAAAAAAAGGGCAATGAGGGTGCTACCATTAGAATGGTAAAAGGGATATCCTTGTAGTGCTCTATTTAAATAATCATACTGGCGAGGTGAGTTTTTGCTTTACCTCTCTGAATCAACAAACCCCTTGGAGAGCAGGAGCTATGTACTTTCTTTTGTCTACCCTTTTTAACATTCTGTTATGAACAGTGCCCAACAGAATGGATATGACAAATATCTGTTGAGTGACTAAAGCATTCTTTCTCACTAGACATATCATATCCTTATTTGTTTCAACTTAAATTTCATAAATTCTATTAAGACTTCTTTAATTCATGGCTGGCTGCTTAGAAGCATCCACAAAGCAAAGTCCACAAATAGCAGCCAGTTAATAAATAATTTATATCTGATGAGGCAACATGATCAGAATAACCTTTCAAGAATCACTTCCACTAATCTGGCACATTCTAATTATCAATAATCCATTCTCTATAAATTACAAAGATCAAAATCTTACCCACATCTAATTAAGCTGACTTTTCCCACCCCTACTCTATTCCACTGATTTTCTACTTTTCTTCTTAGATATATCTCTGAAACCTCCAACTACTATCTTGTGTTGTGTAACTTTCCTTCCCATTCAAACAATCCTGCGTTACCTTCACTCATCCGGAAGGCCTCTTCACCTTTTCCTGGTTCTGTCAGAACAGCCTTTTCTGATGGCAGAGTTTTCCCAATTCTAACTCTCTTGGTTGAAGTTTTAGCTTTAAAAAGAAAGTCTTAATTTATTGCTCTTTCACAGTATTTAAATTGTTTTAATCATATTCTATTATCTGAATAACAATTTCAACATTATAATTTTTTTTTTCAAAATATACCCAATTTTGGGTGGGAAGACTACTGCTATTATAAAATAGAAGAATTCTAATTTAAGAATATTCAAGAACAGAAAATCAAACACCACATGTTCTCACTCACAGGTGGGTGATGAAAAATGAGAACACATGGACACAGGGAGGGGAGCACTACACATTGGGGTCTATTGGGGGAAATAGGGGAGGGACAGCGGGGGGTGGAGAGCTGGGGAGAGATAGCATGGGGAGAAACGCCAGATATAGGTGAAGGGGAGGAAGGCAGCAAATCACATTGCCACGTGTGTACCTATGCAACAATCTTGCATGTTCTTCACATGTACCCCAAAACCTAAAATGCAATAAAGAAAAAAAAATATTCAGTTTAATCTAAACATTTCCTTTTGTTCCCAGTTACCATTTTCCAAAAACTATGCTTTTCTATCTTCTTTTCCCAGAGTGTTCTATGAATGTTTTTCTAATTTATTCCATAAGCCTGTGGGACCTTCCTAGTATTTTGTTCTTAGTTAAATTTTTTGAAAGGTTTTTTTTTCTTTTCTTCTTTTTGGAGACAAAGTGTCTCATTCACTGTTACCAAGGCTGGAGTGCAGTGGCACGACCATGACTTACCACAACCTCTACCTTCTGGGCTCAAGTGATATCTCGCATTAGTCTCCTAAGCATCTGGGACCACAGATCCATGTCACTGTCCCTGGCTCATTTTTTAATTTTTTTTTGTAGAGAGAAGAGTCTTGCTAGGTTGCCCAGACTGGTGCCGAACTCCTGGCCTCAAGCGATTCTCCTACCTTGGCCTCCCTAAGTGCAGTGCTGAGACAATAAGTAGAGCCACAACATTGGGCCTCAAGACATTCTTACTGGAAATTATTTTTATCTCCCTCAGGTTCAGAAAGTGAGCTGCCCTACTATTCTGTATCATTACAATATTACTTTAAAACAAAACAGTTCCTTTATAAATTGTTCTAAATCCTAAGTCTAAATAAAAACTGGGAGGCAATCTGATGTAAATATTCTTCTATTTATCAAAAGTTGTCTTTTCCCCACAATATAAATGTTTCATTTTCATTCCAATTCTAATTTGGCTACTTTAGTTTGTTTTCTGGTTTTTTTTTGTCATTCTTTCTTGAAGTATAACTTGGATTAAGTTCTGCTGTATAACTAAAAAACTGTGAAACTTGTATACAGTTCTTTGGATAATTTATTGTTGACTGTAGCTGTCTGTTGGCTTCTGAAACCAATACTGGGTGAAATTATTGGTAATGCCACAACATGTATTTTAAAATTAATTTTAAATGAAATCCCCTCATAAAACAGAAAGATTACTACTTCCAAGTATCTACCTGCTAAGCGTCTTTCAATCATGGTTTTTAAATCTTCTTCTGTAACATTCTCATTTACTGGAGCCACTTGGGACAAGGCTTCAAGTTTTGTCTTTTTTGTGTCCACAGCTCTCTTCTTTCTATTCCCTTTTTTATCTGTGGGACTGTCATTTTTGCTTTGTGTTAACTCAACTTTTAAATCATTATCTCCATCCTCCTCCTCTCCAACTTCATCAACAGTAACAAAATTAAGTTCTTCTTTTAGGTTGTTAAAATCAGCCAGAGAGTCTTCATCCTCTTCAGTTACTTCATCCAAAGTCACTAAATGCAAATCACTGCTGTCATCTTGTATTTCATCTACAGTAACTAAAGTAGAAGGGTCTTCAGGCATCTGAGAAGAAATGAAGCCAATAGATTCCCTTACAGTGTCTCCTTCATTTCCTTTTGTATTTAAAGTGGCAAAAGTTATGTCTGCTGACTCATTCAAAGGTAGCTCTTCCACTTCTCCAATTTCATCCACAGTTACCAAGCGCTCCTGTTTGAGAAGATCTTGTTCTTCAGCCACTGACAGAACAGTAACATCTTTAGGTTCACTGTGGGAAATGCAATCATCTTGGTCAATTAATTCATCTAATGTAAAAAGTGAATTTGAATTTTTTACCATTTCTTCCATATTTAGTTCTTCTTCATCAATTACTTCATCCACAGTGACTAGAGCTTGTGCTAGATGTGCAGCTGCATCTTCTTCTTCCCCAATCTCATCCAATGTTACAAAAGATAGTTCTCCCTCAACACCACGAGGGGCTGAAGTTTTCCCCTTTTTCTTCTTTAGGTTAAGTTCAGAGAACGGAACATTTCTGAGAGCTTCTTTCTTTTTTCCCTTTAGTGGATTCTGCTTGGCTTGAGAAGGATTCACTTCTTCTATAACCTCATCCACAGTAACAAATTCATCCAAATTAAATGGAAATAATGGTTCCTGTTGGAAAGTTAAAAATCATAGTATTGTAAACAAACTTTGAACACTGCCTAGATTCCAAATAGTCACAATAACTGTGCATGCAGATCATCTGGGAGAATTTCGGTGCTAATTAAGTTTTCTAAAGGCTAAAATTAAGAGTTGTTTTTTTTTAAAGCCCCATAAATGACTTAGCTATAATTCACAAAGTGTAAGCCAAAGGTAAAGCCCTAACAATATCGACCTTTCCACTTCTTAAATTCACACATTTTCTAAATGATGAGTTTTGAAGTATGACACATAAAAATATTACATTTAAAGCATTTGTCAAACAATATAAAGGATTTACTATTCCATATGTCAAACATCTAACAAGTGTTCTAGGAGACTTACTGGACCTCTAAAAGAACCTCCAATATAGTTAGAAAGTAAACAGCTAATTAGACTGTTTCATTTATCACTGTATATTGGTTACACATTAATTAACTATAGAATACATATTTTAATAAATACAATGGTTACATTTTGAGAAAGTTGTATGGAAAAGTTGTTAAGACTCAATATCTAATATAATTGTATTTGAAAACAAAGTATCTGTAATTTTTAAAATACTTCCAATAGTAAAGAAGATAAATTCCTGCCAGGGCTCCTGTACATTTTAGTATGTTATCAGTGATCAACTGCTATTATATATAACAATGACATTAGAATACGAAGGAATCTTGTAATAGGTAGAATTATCTGCAAACAGTTGTAGTACCAACTTAACAAAGCAAAATGAAGTAGCCGTAATTCTTATTTCTGCTTTAAACTAATAACGTTTCTCCTTGCCCCAAATACAGAGGCACAAATTCATCCCCTACCAGATAATAAAAGTAAAATGACTGAAACAATATTCTATGAATGGTAAAAATCTGAAATACTCAACAACCAAACATAAAATATGTTTGTTTGGCAACAGAATGTGGTACCAGTAAAGTAAATCTTACAGACCATCCACCATTCACTTAAGGTTAAATTAGAGCCAAAAGAATAACCTGTTTTAACAAAATTAGGATGAATCAAGTCAAATGTCAGTCATTCTCCTTCACATTTATGATTTTTTTTTTCTGTGTCTACAACCTATTCCTGTCAGTAGGAGATTGGAGGTATTTTCCTATTCTACTCTTTTACTGTCCCCATATAACATTTTGCTCCTTCACCAAGAACACAAGGTGCTTAGGCTAACTCAAGGTCAGAAAGTAAATTAATGGTAGGATTAGAGGTAAATTAAAAATAAAACATCTCATTCCTATCCCTTGCTTTATACCTCTACCTCTCTAACATTTGTATTAACTATTATAAGGCAGACACACGTTGTAAGATAGATGCACTGTGTTATGGAGCGATGAAAAAAAAGCGTTAGGGTCCATGATCTACTTTTTACCTCTTTAGATTTGGAACTTCTACCAGCAGCACTTTTAGAATTCTTAGTGTTTTGTCCAGCCAAAGTCTGAAATAGTAAATAAGAAATACAGAAAAACAGAATTTACAACCAGATTATTAAATGGTATTTTAAAAAACCCAGAAATAATTACCAAAATATAGTCAGTTATGCAAATATTTAACATATATACAAAGCTAAGTCAACAGTCATTAACAGTACAGGCACAGTCTCTACAAGTTGTAGTTAAATTCAGTTTTACTGATCTTTTCTTCCCACAATGTCTAGTTGGGCAGTCAGTGACCTGATAGAAGAAGGTTCAATTTAAGAGAGGAAACAGTTTTCCATTCAGAAGCAAAGTAGTAAATCACCTTAGGAGATTCACTGCAAATTTTTTTTTTTAATCAGTTATTTCTGACCAAACTTTTTCCAAATAATGCTTTTCAAACCTGTCAATAAATTATGAACTCAAGCTTAACATTCTAAATGCATACTGGCTTAAACAATGGAATCATTTAAGAAAAGAAAATGGAACCTTCTGGGGTGGAGTGAGGAGATGAAAGTATTAAACAAAATTACATCTCCTACTCCATAGCTACACCAGCAGAGCTAATCACTTCAAAGACACACTGAGCCATTCTTCCTACCCTCCTCACCTTATTGTTGCTGTCATCCCGCTTCACGATGGAAGGTCTAGCTTCTGTTTCCTGAGATTGTTTTGTTATATCCCTGTAATCCAGTTTAGAAAGCTTGCCTTGCAGGGCTGAGATCTTTCCACTGCCTCCTCTGGTAAAACTGCTCTGAGTGGGTTTCAATTTACTGCTTTCTGCCAAGCCTGACCTGGCACTTGTAGGTTTAAGTAGAGCAAATTCCTTGGCCGAAAGTTTCTTTTCAGCATTTATTTGATCTCTAAGCGCAGATTTTAAAAAACTTTTCTGATTTTCAGGTTTCGAAGCTGTAGCTTTTGCCTTAGGAGAAGAGACTACAACAGCCTTGATGCTTGATTTATTGCTAGATACACTGGATACTGCCAGAATACTAGTCTTACTAGTTTCATCAGGATTAGTAGCCTGACCCACTCCTTTATTTGGGTATGTCTTGAATAAAGTATTTTCTGCAGGCTTTTCTTTCACTGACGCCATCATCTTTTCCACCTTTTCTGCAACCATCCTACCTTCATTCTTTTCAGCCTTCTCTGTTCCTATTTGAAGATCCATTCTGATTTCCTTAGTTATATTAAATTCATTCTCCTCCTTTTCATCCATGTTACTTTTTTTTTCAGAAATACTCTTTTTGCCCACTGTCTTCTCATCCCCAGTGGAAACTCCTGGTACTAATGTCACAATACAAGCTGATGGCAATATTTCTGAAACAGTTTCAGGTTTTTCTACTTCGGCTATAGATTCTACCACAGACTGTGTAACTCCAGAAAAGAAATCTTCTGCTTCAGATGGAGATTCTTCTGTAACTCCTTTGATGTTCCTTTCTTCTATAAACACACTGTCAGATGGTAACAATGCTGTTTCAGGGTTAATAATTCCTGCGTCTTTCTTCTCCAAGTCACTGTTATACACCTGCTGATTTAAAGCACACTCCTCGGCATTTTCAGTGAATAGTTCAATACTGGCTGGAGTGGATGCTACAAGAGGAACTTCTTCTTTGACCTCCTCCCCTTGAGTTTCAACCTCCAATGTTTCCATAGCAAAGTCAGAATCACATGTTACTTTTTCAGGTTCTTCCTCACAAGGCTTCTCCTGTTGTACGAAAATTTCTGTTTGCATGTTGGGTATACTTTCTTCTTCGAGCTCATTAGGTTTAACAGAGGGACTATCAGTTGCTGTTTGGACCTCACTTTCATCAACTGGATTGTTTTTCAAGCCAGGGCTAAAAGTATTTAAAAACAAACAAAAAGAACACAAACAAAAACACAAACAAAAATCAAACTATGATGAGAATTCAACCATTATAAATAATCCTGTTGATGCCAATTGTTAAGACTTCCTGATGCATTAGTAATAAGCACTGGGAAATCCAACCAATCAGCATTAGGATGATTAAAATGTTTTGATGCAAATATGTAATATAAATTATGACTGTTGATATGTTCCTTTTGCACTTGTGATTATAGCCAATATCTTCCTTCCTGTGTCAAGTTAACACCTAACATTGAAAGGCCAAATGTAAATTTTAGACACTTCAGATATTATCAGGTCCTATTCCCAACAGTGGTAACTGAAATAAAATATATGTGTATAGTTCTACAATGAAACTAATGATCCATGCACTATGATTTAAAATTAAGTGATAAAAAGAATATAAACAGAAATCGGTGGGGAGAAGAGACCAATACTGCACATAACACCTCTTTTACTTTTTTGGATGTAGAATATTTTTTTAATTACCCAATAACTGTATTATTAATAATACTTAAAAGAAAACTTTTTTGAAAGTATTCTTTGTATACTCTATTGAAGATTTAAAGTTAGTGACAAAACCTGATACAACCACCTTACATAAGCATATAGTCTTATTATGGATAAATATTTGCCTTTGGCTATAAGAAGAAATAAGTTAAAAAATAAATCTTCCCAATTAGAAAAAACAATGTATAATTCTAATATTTAACTTAAATGTTTAACTAATATTATTTAGAAGAAATGGAGGAAATGCATGGCTAAGTTATATAACTCATCTTATTTCATCATGATCTTTCCAAATATAAAGTATATGAAAAGTATGTGATTCTATAATTCTAGTACTTTCACTGAGGTAGATACAGAGTAAGTTATTTTTATATTAATATTCTACAAATCAGAGGTTACTTTGAAGGATAAGGAAACCCTTAGCTTCCAAAAACAACACCCAACATGCTATCAACGCAAATTAAAATTTACCAAATATATTCACATAATGAGAAGCAGCAGGTTGGAGAAAGACACCGGAAAGTGATCCTATCATATCAATACCTGATTATTAAGAAGTACTGACTTTCTTCTAATTTTTAAGGAAGGAGAGGATGAACCATCCCTTTTGACTTGCTTCTTAAAGGGTGCCCATATACCCTTTAGTTAACACAAGATAACAGCAATATCTATGTGCTGAGACAGTAATCATATTTAAGAAGTTTAGAGTAAGTCATGCTACAACATCAGGGTCTTATATCATTTGAACTAAACTAGTCTTTCTTCAAGCCCCAAAGGTTACATCCTGAGGATAAAACTTTTCTACCAGATTAAAGAAATATCTCTTGACCATAAACCTTAATCAATATTCTATTGATTGTGCAAATTATTCTTTGCATGCTAAACTGGCTTTTATTTGAAATGATCATATACGTTTTATTTAAAATATCAATGGCTAATTTTAACAGTTTCAAATTTTTACAATTCAAAATAAAATTTGTGGCAAAGCACAACAGTGAAAAGAAAGAGTAAAGTGACATTCACAGTTACAGCAGGTATATGAATATTATTTCTCAAAAACAAGCTTTTATCTTTAAATTACAAGACTCATTTCCAATAATGAAGAATATATTCAAATTCCTGACTCATTACTATACTACCTATTAACCCTACATAAAAGCTTTAGAAACTTAGGGCTATGTAAAAACATCTATGGGGCTAGGATAACTATGGAGGCCTTGATTTCTGGCTCAGGCATATAGCGAGACTTTTCCCTTTATCATATTTAAAATTTTTCAATAAAAAAATTATCTTTTATACAATCTGAACCATTAAGCAGTTCCATACTTGAAACAGAGAACTCAGGTCGACTCAGAAAATTATTTAGTTCCATATTTGTCCTCGTGTGCTAGTCTTATAAAATCACAGTGTTTTATTTAGAGAAGTCATTTACCAAAACTAGTATCTGCTTTCTGACTAATATGGGGGAAAGCCTCAGTATTGATCAAGTTAGTCTGAAAAGACAATTTGAATTGTCAAATGACATTAACACCAAAGTTAAACAACCACTTTGTAAAGATCAAATGAAAACACAAGTCATATTCTGGGAAATACAACGTAAAAGGATTCCAGAAAGGCATTGGAGATACAGATATCGCATTTGCCACCCCTCCCTCCTGCCCCCATATACCAATAATACCAGAATTTCACAACCTTCAGAAAAAGCATGCAATAAAAGCTGGGCATAAGAACAAACATAAACACTGAAATATAAATATCGTGAGAAACTTTAGACTGGGACTTCATAATACTAAAGATTAATGTTTATTTCAGAGAATAACGGGGTACTTCCTAACATTAATGAATTAGAAAACTTTCATCTAGCATTTTTATTTGTGGCCTTAATCACATGGTAAATAAAACCTGTTTCCATTTCAACAGGATGAATACAGACATAATGTGAGTTATTAAATTATGAATGTACCCACGTGAAATTTCCTCTAAACAGTAAATAGTTTACATTATTTATAAACAAAAGCATCATATTCATGATGAATTGGCAACCACAAGTGCTTTAAAACAAAACAAAACAAAACAAACAATTGCATGTAGTACCAGCTACACAGGAAGCTGAGGTGGGAAAAGAGCTTGAGCTCAGGAGTTCAAGGCCAGCCTGAGCAACACAGCAAGACCCTGTCTCTAAAAAAAAAACACAACAAATAGTATTTTCTCAGTCATGAGTGTACTCTAAAAGAAACGTTTAGTATTCTGGACCTATCCCACACCCTTTTCTCTAACGTAAGTAAAAAAAAGTGGCGGGGGGGAGTGAGGGGGTGGGATTAAGTTTTTGGTGCTGATTTTTAAAATTAATTTTATGAGGTTGAACATTATCTGTAAATTCATAAAGAAATATATTCAATTTTAAAAGCTATGTCTAAACAATGAGAGAACAATAACCAAATGCTACTGCTATAGACAACAACTTTTCATGCAGACCTCAAGAAAACTGTGTAAAATGAAATAAAATGGGTTTTGCCATAGAGTTACTGTGGCCAATCTTTAGGTCTGTGTATACTACTACATAGGCACCGTTTATTAAGCCCTTCTTGGGCTTTCGCATCACACACTCCTAGTGGTATTATTTCTTAGGTATGTGAATGTAATTGGTATGATGACATATAACTTTAAAAACCCTGTGCTGACACAAAGAGCAAACCTATTACTTAAAGTTACTGATGTATTTTAATGTACTCATCATCTTTATCAACTAAAATAATCTGATTTTATGAAAATTAAATACTTAGAAGAAAAATTTGTAAGACATTCTGTTTTTCAGGGATCTTAAAATCAGTACATCAAATAAACACTTTCCATATTTAAACATTTTTCATATTCAAACACTTTCAAACTGCTGTTTCAAACAAATATAGGCTCTTACAACAAGGACTAACAAATACTGATAAATCAATTAGTATACAGGAGGAAAAAGAAATATTCTAAATCAGTGATTCACATGAAGAGCAATGAAAGGCAAGTCATTAATTGGTGAAACAAGGGTGGTCATAAGGAGGACATCCATCGGAATAAGAAAGTTACTAAGAAGAGGGTGTACTTTATGTGGTCAAAAAAAGGATGTAAGTCACCAGTTTGTAGAGACTTTGAAGAACAAGCTTTAATTCCTCTGATAATGCAAAACCGTATATATAAGTTTTCTGGACAAATATGTATTTGCCCCCACCCAGTTTTTTTTAAAAAGTATCAAAATACACACTGAAATTAAGTAACTTTAAAAGGTTAAAATTTTACTATAGTGTTTTAGAAAAGAAAAACTTAACAAAAACAATGTAATTACTGTTCATGGAGTTGAGAGTCTTAAAACATTTTCTAAAGTGATGTTTATTTAACTCAAACTGTTTATATATGCAGTTACGCTAATATTCCATAAGTACTTGAATGAGAGTAAACAAAAACAACAAACACAACTCCTAGGTCAGGCAGAACTCCAAAAGAAAACTATAACAAGCCCATACGTACACAAAATAAACATGTAGAATAGGAACTTTTCACTCCATGTGAGCCATTAACTATGAAATACAGCAATGAAATTCAGAAACGAAATGCTATATAAAAGTGTTAGTAAACATAAAGCAACATACCTTTCTTTTTCTAATTCTGGGTCTTGCTCGGTTTGCACCTGTAACATAAGCAGCATTTTATTAAGAGGCTATTCGACTGGATTTGAAACATTTAACTATCAAAGCAATGTTTTTAGTTAAAATTTAATCTCAAAAATGAAAACAAAAACAAAAACAAAACCCTTGAAAAATGTATCAAAGCAGCTAGTGAAGTGTTTACATTACGATCAAGTTCTAGAATGTTTTCTAAGTAGATAAAAACCTCCAAATTAGGTCATACACAATAATTTATATCAAGCAATTAATGAGAAAAATAAGTTTCCTTAATAATGGCACACACAAGAAACTTTTTTTAAACTTTAATAAAAGTCTGAAAATACCATCTCTTGCCTAGAATAAAATCAATAAATGTGAAATATCAGTATCTTCTTTGTAGAATTATTTTAAAAGACTTCTATTATTAGAGAGATCAGCCGACTAAAAAAGTTTCCTGGCTGGGCACGGTGGCTCAAGCCTGTAATCCCAGCACTTTGGGAGGCCGAGGCGGGTGGATCACGAGGTCAACAGATCGAGACCATCCTGGTCAACATGGTGAAACTCCATCTCTACTAAAAATACAAAAAATTAGCTGGGCATGGTGGTGCGTGCCTGTAATCCCAGCTACTCAGGAGGCTGAGGCAGGAGAATTGGCTGAACCCAGGAGGCAGAGGTTGGGGTGAGCCAAGATTGCGCCATTGCACTCCAGCCTGGGTAATAAGAGCGAAACTCCGTCTCAAAAAAAAAAAGTTTCCTATTCAAAATACCTAGAAATGCTGGACAAAATTGAACGAGAATCCTTTTAAGGATCTGTCTGATATCTGATAAATATTTTAAATATTTATCTGATATGTGGGCCCCAAGAAAGCAAGATTCGGGAGCCCCAAAAAGGGCAGGAATTAAAAATGAGTCCTTATATGCCAAGCACTGTCCTAGCTACTTGGGATGCATCAGTGAACAAAATGGCAAAAATATCTGCCATTTAGAGCTTATACATACTAGAAGGAAGCCTTTTCTGAGAAATCATGCATTCTCTGGGTAGAAACTTTCTTTCTAGAAAGATTTAGTAAGACTAAAAACTGAAAACAGTACTTTAAGGAAATTCAGTGGGTCTGGAGAGGATTCCTGGCGTAGGTGTTGGGAGTCCCACAGTAAAGACTTCCTTTTACTGGGATATCTAGTTATGCCAGTAAAGTGATTAACAAGTCTAGTTAATATCCTAATGATATTGCCAAAATTAAAACTGATGGTTTCTAAGTCCCAATCACAAAGAGTGTTTATTAGCAGCTTTCCATTCAGGAGAAGAGTTTATTAGAGGGGAGAAAAAAAATCTGTGTTATCAGTGGAACACTGCATCAGATACCTGTATTGGTCAACCTGCTTCCTTATTCATAGAATAACAGAAAAACAAATGCACAAAAGTGAACAACACAAGCATATAAAACCAGCTAAAGAAAAGATATTTCAGACAACTGAAGAGCCTTTTAAAAAACTCAAAAGAACATCCTCATAAAAATTCAAGAGAATATACCATCTATGAAATCAGTACTGGTGTTATTTCCAGAAAAATAGAATATTAACAACTGAAGGGAATAAATCAAAAAACAGTAATAGAAAAAATTCCCTGGGGCTGGGCATAGTGGCTCACGCCTGTAATCCCAGCACTTTGGGAGACTGAAGTGGGCAGATCACAAGGTCAGGAGTTCCAGATGAACCTGCCCAGCATGGTAAAACTCCATCTCTACTAAAAATACGAAAACTAGCCGGGCACGGTGGCACACGCCTATAGTCCCAGCTACTTGGGAGGCTGAGGCAGGAGAATTGCTTGAACCCCGCAGGTGGAAGTTGCAGTGAGCCAAGATCGCACCACTGCACTCCAGCCTGAGCAACAGAGCAAGACTTCATCTTGGAGAAGAAAAAAAAAAAAAAACAACTTCCCTATTGTGGGGCGGGGGGGGAACCTACCTCAGCTTTAGATTTTATAAAAATCATTCTGCTCTAAGCGGGATGTGGGAAATGAGTCCCAAACCAAGATAAAACCTTACTCACTGGAATAGCAATACCAATCCTATCTTTGGAAATTCCTGAATCATCAAATATGTTCCTAAAGCCTTTGATCTGGTTCTTCTGTCTGAAAATCTCTTCTCCTTGCTATTTTCTTAGAGCTTGCTCTCTTACTTCTATCAGGTCTCTCATATAACTCTTCTGCTGGGGGACTACCACTTTAAGATACACATCCCTCATATTAATAAGTGACCACTTTAAGATACACATCCCTCATATTAATCAGTCTCTTTTTTACCTTATTTATTCACAGTCGTTTTACCACTTGTATCTGTTTATACTCTATGTCCTCCACTAAAACATAATCCTCAAGAACAAAGATACTGAAACAATGTTCATCATGGTATTCCAACCCCTAAAATAGTGTTAGCATAGAGAAAAGGAATTAGATAAATACTAGTTTAGGGCCAGGCACAGTGGCTCACACCTGTAATTCCAAAACTTGGGAAGGCCCAGGCTGCAGGATCACTTCAGGCCATAAGTTTGAGACCAGCCTGGGCAACACAGTGAGACCCCATCTACATAAACATAAAAAAATCAAAAATAAAATAAAATAAAATTAGCTGGGCATGGTGGCATGCACCTGCAGTCTACTCTGGAGGCTGAAGTGAGAGATCACTTGAGACCAGGAGTTGAGGCTGCTTTGAGCCATGATTGCACCATGGCACTCCAGCCCAGGTGACAGGAAAAATAACCTAAGCACAGAATTTTACACGGAGACAATCAATCAATGAAATACCTAAGAGCAAAATAAAGTCAGTTTCAAACATCCAGGGACTCAGAAAATGTAATGCCTACACAGACTTTCTGGGGTAAAAAAACAATTTGAGAATGTACTCTTAGCAAACAGAAAAACAATCTGTGATGTGACAGATAAAGAATCCAAGAAAGAGCAGACATAACTCAGAAAAACAATGAAAAGAAAAAAAAAACAAGATGTATAACTGGTTGACAAAACAAATGGTCACAAAAATAGCTCTGAAAGGAGATTCCATTAAGTTACACAGATGATCAAAGTAACATGAAGACTGCCATTTTTTCCTCCCTTTCAACAACAAAATACAAACCCTAAACCATACAAGAAAGCCATAAACTTATGAAAACAAAAATGTGGCAGCACTTTGAGAAATGACTGGGAATATAAGAAACTCACCTGTGAGTGTAGAGGTTATGAACACACATTACACATACTCACTTCTTTATAAACCCATTCTCATTATTACTTAATTCTGCAGTAAATATCTTCATAATAATGATATCAAAAATGCAGATACTAGTTTTCAGTATTTAGAATGGAGTGCTATATGCTTCGTACACAAGCTAACTATAGATACTGAAATAAAGATCACACATACTACACAAGAAGTAACATTTCAGGTTAACAAAAACCACAGATGTTGAAGCAAGAATAATATAGAGTTGATTTACTAACTCATTTTAAATAGCAGTCAATTAAAAACTTATAAATAAGTCAAATGTGTTATCCAACTTAAGCTATACAAATAAAGTTCTAGGTAAGAGCTTAGGAAGTGAAGTATAAATTCAGGCAGAAGTTTATGTAAATTTTCACTTGTTTAATTTTCTTTATCTCTAAGAATCCGGGACTGTATTTCTGGAATAAAGATTACAGTCAGTGTTTAATTTTGAAGTCAGTTGAACACAATACGAACTTGAAAAATAAAAATCACAAAATTTTTAAAATGTATTCTCTGTTGGGGAATAGCTAAAAAGTTTACATTTTTTTCTGAAATTATCAGGTCAAATGAGCCAATCATTTGTGTTGAAGATGATACCTATCATAATACATTTATTTACAGATACTCTATTTAATTTGGATTTAGATAATGAATTTGCCTTTTTCTTTAGATAGTGCAAGATTTTTAACATATTAACAAAAAACATATGGACACCAGATATAAGGTCCTATTATATACCTCTGCTATTGGCATGCAACAGAATAGAAGGAGAAAATATTTGAGTTCAAATTTAACGCTTTCAAAGGTGGACTATTCATAGCTCTCCTACATGTACTACTGTGTAAGCCAAGAATCTATGAAATCTTATTTCGTAACACAAAAACAGTTTGTAATAAATATAACTGAAACAAAAATAAACAAAATTCTTTCTACCAGAGGAAGCCAAAACGGATTCAAATTTATACTGCTTTATAAACTATGAAAATTGAAATATTGATTGCAAAACAAATAGTAAAAATAATCTCTAAACACAGAAACAGTTTGACTACTGTCTGAGAATGACGTTTATGTTTTCTCTATTTTCTAAAAGCACAAAAGCTGACCCAAGAGAAATCTTACCTCTGGTAAGTCTATCTTTGGAGATAATGTACAGGTCAATATATGGTCACCAATGTTTTGTGGATTTTGTTTGAGAAAGCTGTACATTGACTGAGCAGATTCAGGACTATCTAACTGAAGAATCGCCTTAGGAGAAGATTAAAAAGTTATGAATAATTCTTTAAAAAAATTAAAATTAGAATAACCACATAATCTGAAAATTCCACTTTTTAGTATATACCTAAAAGGAATGAAAGCCAAGACTTGAACATGTATTTGTACACCCATGTTCAAAGAAGCATTATTCACAACAGACCAAAGGCAGAAGCAACCCAACTGTCCATCAATGGATGAGTGGATATCAAAATGTGTTATATGCATAAAACAGAATATTACTTGGCTTTTAAAAGGGAAGAAAAATTTGACACATGCTGCAACATGGATGAACCTTGAAGATATTATGCTAAGTGACATGAGCCATCACAAAAAAGCAAATACAATTCCACATGCATGAAGTAACTAAATTTATAAAAACAGACATAATAGTTGACAAGGGCTGAATTAATGATGAGTTATTGTCAAAAGGACAGAAAGCTTCAGTTCTAGAAGATGAAAATGGAAATGGATGGTGGTAATGGCCACACAATGTAAAGGCACTTAATATCACTGAACTAACTAACATGGTTAAAATGTTAAATCTGTGTCTTACAAATGGTAAAATCTGTGCATTTTACTAAAATAAAAATGTTAATTCTTTAAAAGTTTGGAATGTATTTTTCTTTCAGGTTTCCGATGTGATTACAAAGGTAAAGTTAATCCTTATTTCAAGGAAACAGGAGAAAACAATCCTTAAAAGGTAAAGGCAAGGCAAAACTGAAGAGAATGACAGGTATTTTTTAAATAGAGGATTAAAGATGTTTGCAAGAAAGTTGAGAATTCTTATGTGTCATCTGTTGTGCACCACCTTCCATTCTAAGTCACACTATCAATCATTCTGTGTCACACTATTTATCATATTCCATTCTATACTCACATTGTCAGTTAAAAGCATATCAAAGAAATTATCTAGTTGTTGGTTAATTAAATGCTCTTTATGAAGTAAATATTGTCCACTTTCAAATAAACCCCTGCCTTTCTAGGTAATATGGCTGATAAAAATTTAATTTTAATGAACATATAGCTAAAATACATAATTAAATACAGAAGGCATACCAAATGTAAATGGAGAAATAATTTTTGTTTCTTAAAGAGGCCAAATCAGAAAATTAAGGAATGATTATTTTATTTTTGAGACAGGGTCTCGTTATGTCACCCAGACTAGAGTGTAGTGTCGTGAACACAGCTCACTACTCCTGGGCGCAAGGCATCCTCCTGCCTCAGCCTCCCCAGCAGCTGGGACCACAGGCACATACCACCCTGCCCAGCTAATTTTTAAACATTTTGTAGAGACAGCATCCCACTATGTTGCCTAGGCTGGTCTTGAACTTCTGAGCTCAAGCAAGCCCCTTTGCCTCAGCTTCCCAAAGTTCTGGGATTACCAGTGTGAGCCACTGCACCCAGCAATTATTTTATTTATGCCCCTCTCTTTCCATATAAACAAACAAAATAGACCTAATTCAAATGTTTCATAGCTGGAAGGGACTTAAAGAAATATTAGGTAATTAGTGGCTCATGTCTGTAATTCCAGCACTTTAGGAGGCTGAGGTGGGCGGATCATGAGGTCAGGAGTTCAAGACCAGCCTAGCCAAAATGTTGAAACCCCATCTCTACTAAAAACACAAAAATTAGCTGAGCATGGTGGCATGTGCCTGTAATCCCAGTTAGAAAGCTGAGGCAGGAGAATCACTTGAACTCGAGGGGTGGAGGCTGCAGTGAGCTGAGATTACGCCACTGTTCTCCAGCCTGAGCGAGAGTGAGACTCCATCTCAAAAGAAAAGAAACTTAGGTATACCCCTTTCATTTTACAAGTAAGTGTAAACCAACTTAGCCAAGACCGCAAAGATAGTTAAGATCAGAGCCAACGGAACTCAGATCTAAACTCACCAAAAGGATAATGCTGTCTACACTGTATTACCTTTCCCGACTTGTGTCTTATTTCTCCTTAAAAACTAGAACTTCTGAAAAAGAGATCATCTCTTCTTTCTCGGCACAGTCCAGAAGAAAATATTCTGGTTTATCGTAATTCTGCGAAGTGGCTCAGTAATGTTTATAAGTGCTTCAGATCAGAAGCTGAGTTAGAAGTTACACATCTTAAGAATGTAGGGTTATTATATATTCTCAAGAGAACGCATAGCTAAATTACCAGGGAACTTGTTACCTTGTTTTTATTACTTATGAATACATGGTGATCCACTTTTCCAAACTGAAGTCCAACACAAAGTACACACTGAAGTCCATCTTCTGGTAAATTATCAAGATGTACAAATCGATCATAAATTGTATCTATGTTTGCCTGTAGTTTTTTTTGTGTTTTTTAAGAGACAGGATAGGAAAAAAAAAAAAAAAAACACACAGATGAAGCAACAAATGGTAAAACAGATTAACATTAACTTAGTATTACAGAGGTCAGATGATGTCCTCTCCCAAGAGTAAGACAACTACACAGGGGATGATAGTGGGCACTTAATCTTATATATACATAATCAGCAAAATGATGTACTAAAATGGGCAGTACAGTATTTCTACTATCAACATAACATTTACCCAAAACATCCTCAGGTAGGATATTGACCTATTAGACCACTTAGTATGCAATCCAGTACCCGAAAAATTTTTCGCATCAAATACTACAATAACCGTTTATTTTTGTATTTTTACCAAGAAGACCCATCTGACATCTCCATCACCTCAATATCTTAAAATTACTTCTAAAGTTTTAATTCCTAAAAGGTGAACAAATAAAACAATTAGTGTTTCCATCAATTAAATAAGTATGCAAGAGCATGTACATGCAAAACTCACCTCTGGGTCATTTTCTTTTACCAAGGTTGTAAATACAGCTTCCTAAAAAGCCAAAATAGATAAACGTTGATGGTATAAGCTCTTTCTCATACATGTACTTATTTAGTTAAGATTTATAATATCACAATCTATACAAATATGCATTAAAGTATTTCACAAAATTAAGAAGCAGCAAAAGTTATGTTATTTCCAAAACTCTCTCTCCTAAACAAATCTCATCCTAACCCATACAATTCTTCTTATTCCCCTAAGAACATAAAAGACTAATAAGGCAGTACATTTAGGAAAGACATTCAAATTCACATATAAGAAATAAAGAGATTTAATTTAGACAAAAGAAGAGAATTCAAACTACAAAAAAAGTTAACTAAGCAAAGTAGGAGATGAGGAAGAACAGAGATGTAAGGCAAATAAAACAGCACAGTGCATAAAGGTACAGATTTGGTGCTAATGAATTATGAAGAGATCAAGAACATCATGAAACAAGGATATCAAAGCAGGCAGAGGACAACTAATAGAAGGCTCTGTGTGCAGGCAAAGGAAGTTGGACATTATCTTCTTTTTTCTTTTTGAGACAGAGTCTCGCTCTGTCGCCAGGCTGCAGTGCAGTGGCACAATCTCAGCTCACTGCAACCTCCACTTCCCAGGTTCAAGCAATTCTCCTGCCTCAGCCTCCCAAATACCTGGGATTACAGGTATCCAACACCATGCCCAGCTACTTTTTGCATTTTTAGTGGAGGAGGGGTTTCACCATGTTGGCCAGGATGGTCTCAATCTCCTGACCTCCTGATCCACCCGCCTTGGCCTCCCAAAATATAGGTATGAGCCACCGTGCCCGGCCAACTTTATCTTTTAAGACTGAAGATCCTAACTTTTTTTCTTATTGATACTACTAACATGTATAAAACAATCTCACCATCATATCACATTAGAATGATTCTCAATGAAAGGCATTTTTACATTACATGAATTTCTACCTGCCTCTAGGGATAAAATATTTCTACCTCATGGTTCTCAGCAGTTGACGGTAAATGTTTTTAGGCCACAGAGAGGCAATGAAGGGTGTGTACTTCAGATAAAAGCTGAGAACTCAAGGGAGTTTTATAAAATTGAGGTAGTGTGTACAAAAGATAATTAGTGCTGGTCCAGGAAGACGTCTGTCTGTTTTTGGGACTGGGTCTCCCTCTGTCAGCCAAGCTGAAGTTCAGTGGCACAATCACAGCTCAGTGGAGCCTTGAACTCCTGGGCTCAAGGGATCCTCCTAAGTCAGCATCACAAGGAGCTAGGAACACAGGTATGTGCCTCCATGCCCAGCTAATTAAGTCTTGTAGAGATGGGTCTCACTTTGTTGCCCAGGCTGGTCTTCCGTCTTGAAGTCCTGGGTTCATACAATCCTCCCATATCAGCCTCTCAAAGTGCTGAGATCACCAGCGTGAGCCACCACACCTGGACCAGTAAGAGTTTTTAAGAGGGAAAGCAATATGGTATGTGGGATGAGGAAGAGGGAACAAGCTCACTGAGTTAAAATAAACAAGATCTAGCAAGGAACTGAATGTAAGAAATAAGAGGAAAAAAAACCTAAAGATAGCTTCCAGAATTCTAGTTTAGATTACAGATAATGGAAGAAAGAGTAGAGAGAAGCCTGGTTTTAGACCAAATTCAACCTGTTTTCCATCCAAACATACACATGAAGAATAGGATTCCCTCATTATGAAAGTAAGCCTGAGAGCAAGCAATGGAATGGGTGACTGGGTGATTGTTGGAGGGACAGGAAGCTTTCTCAGTGTCTGTGAGAAAAATATGATGCAAAATGAAAACTAGAAAATATAACACAGACTATAACAAATTTGATTTAAAAACTCAGTAAAAATGGTGAAATAGTTTTAACTAGTAAAAATTAGTAAAAATGGTGGTCTGATTTACCTCGTCTTTTATATTCATGTTTTCAGGAGTCATACTTATTGAGAGTTGATTTCCATCCATCAATACTGGGAAGCAGGTATAAAATTTTACCATAGACTCAGCAGCTTTTCTATTTATTTCTATATATGCCTTAAATAAAAAAATAAATCTTGTTACTTCTTCTCAAAAATAGACTTACATGTATAAACAACTTAGTGAATATTTTTAAGATTAAAAAATGTAGTCCTCAGAAAACTGAGGCCCACACACCAAGAATATTACAACCATAAGTGAGAAATAATGAATGACTAAACTTACTATACTAAGGCAAACTAAAGAGAGAAAAAAGAAGGGACAGTCTAGCAAATGACATTAAGAAAATCTTATTCAACACTGTATCCTTAGGGCAGTAACTATAGCAGAAATATTGTAGCAGTATATGTAGCAGATATATTTCTAATCAATATTTATATTTGAGTAAATAAATTTATTGATAAAATATGAAAAATATGAGAAATGAAAGCAAAGAAATGTGTAATAATTGTGAAGTCTTTTCTCGTTTTTTGATTTTAATAGGTGTAAAACTGTAGCTCCATACATTTTGGTTTTAATTTTCACACCTTGGTAAGTAAAGAGATTGAAACTTCTACATATTTGATAATTAATGATATAGAAACCTATGTGTTTGCTTATAATTGTAAGCCTATTTTTAAATGAATTATCTCCATTTTTTTTGACATGGAGTCCTGCTCTGTTGCCCAGGCTGGAGTGCAGTGGCGAGATCTCGGCTCACTGCAACCTCCACCTGCTGGGTTCAAGCAATTCTCCTGCCTCAGCCTCTCAAGTAGCTGGGACTACAGTCACCCGCCACTATGCTCAGCTAATTTTTTGTATTTTAAGTAGAAATGGGGCTTTACCATGCTGGCCAGACTGGTCTCAAACTCCTGACCCTGTGATCCAACCACCTCAGCCTCCCAAACTGCTGGGATTACAGGCGTGAGTCACTGCGCCTGGCTTTTTTTTTGTTTGAGATGGAGTCTTGCTGTGTTGCCCAGGCTGGAGTGCAGCGGTGTGATCCCCGCTCATCACAACCTCTGCTTCCCGGGTTCAAGCAATTCTCCTGCCTAGCCTCCAGAGTAGCTGGTATTCCAGGCGTGCACCACCATGCCTGGCTAATTTTTCATATTTTTAGTAGAGGCAGGGCTTTACCATGTTCACTAGACTGGTCTCGAAATCCTGACCTCATGATCCACCCACCTCAGCCTTCCAAAGGGCTAGGATTACAGGCATGAGCCACTGTGCCCAAAAGTAAATTCTCTCTTAAGGTTGTCTATTTATTTATTGTAGGTTTAATGTGTTACAGCATAATGTAGATGTGAATCCTGTTTCCAATTTTAAACAAATACTCTTCAGTTTTTAAATTTTCATTTTAATTTATGTTAATTTTAATTTCATAAATGTTTAAAACATTTGCATTAAATCTCCAAATATATTAATAATTTTACTCAACTCCACTCAAAACTGGGCAGATAACTTAGGTTTAAAGTTCAACCATTATACATAATGCAATGGTTTTTAGTGTATTTACTGAGCTCTGCAATCATTCAAAGAATCTACTTTTAACACAATGTGAAATTACATGTAACTCACCTGTACTCATTCTCTTCTACCATTTTCTCAAGCACACTGGCTCCAAATGCCTCAAAACATAAATCCTATTCTACTTTCAAAGATCTCTGGTGACTGCCAACTCCTTTCTATCATAAGAACCCTTCTTCCACTATTCTAAAGGTGCTATTTCTGTTATTTAAACTATTTCCTGAAATCTCGCTCAACTAAACATACTTTCTACAAGTTGACTATTAACAATGTGTTGTTAATGTGTTGTCCCAACACATACTTATAGAAAATTTAGGACATAAAGATAAACCCAGATTGTTTTAAGTATTGATGACATCATTAGTCTGAGTCTGAAAATGGTTACTTCCCATTTGAATATCACTGGTAAAAGAGGAGAAAGAGTATGAAATACAACTAGGAGAGTGATCTACAAAATCTTATAAGTAATTTATAGAACTCTTTATCAAACACATTGAAGACACAAAACATTTTCTATTTAACAAAAATTGGGTGTAACTTTGACACATTAGAAAGCCATTTGTCCCCATGATTAACACTATGCCTGATTACAATACTAAAATAAAGGATATCTGTGTTTAATATTTTAAAATCCCTCAAAGCTTGAAAGTTTACTTTGAGATACTGTTTTTAAACCCTTTGTTTCTAGTTTTGTACATTTAATGTTTTTCAAAGCATGCTTGCATAGGATATGAACAGCTATTATCAACTCTTACCTTTTTATGAGATGAGAAAATCAAGACATCCTTTAAGCCACCAAATGGTTTTGCTAAGTCACAAACTTCTTCTGTAGAATATCCTTTATTAGGCAAATTAGAGATAAGCATCACACACATTTCTTCTCTTTCCTTCAAAACAAATTTTTTAAACCAGATATTAAAATTTCTTAAATTGCTTTTATATTTACTTTAGTTTATATGGCATGTCATATTATGTTAGTATATAGTTGCATTTAATACTGAGGAAAGTCTGATAAATTTAGGAAGCCGGTCTGAACCTCAAATTAAAAAGAAAACCAAAAAAAAACTTGTAAATTAACGCTCTTCAGGAGTACACAGACTAATTGTAGTTATACCATCTGTCATATAGTCCAGGTCTGCTGGTATCTTTTTCATTCACTGTTCTTTATTTTGTTTTGTTTTGTTTTTTTTGAGGGGAGAGGGGGTGGGCATTTGCTTTTGTTTTTGGAGAGAGTCTTGCTCTGTTACCCATGCTGGAGTGCAGTGGTATGATCTTGGCTCACAGCAACCTCTGTCGCCCAGGTTCAAAGAATTCTTGTGTCTCAGCCACCTGAGCAGCTGTCACCCACTGTTTTAAAACACAAGTTCATCTGTTTCTGACTACAACTCCTTCCTTTAATATACTGTCACCATTCCTGTGCCTTGTGATAATAACCCCAAGCTCCATTAACAGTGTGTAACCTTTTATCTCCCCAAATAAGATAATCACTTTTAGGCAATATATAATAAAAAAAGTTCCTGAGAGTCTACCCCACAACCCAATCCTCAATGCAATTAAGCACTTTGTTTTCTGCTATCCTTTTTCTCAGATCTATTTTATTCCTCAAGATGACTCTCTCATCAATACCAATTATTCCTTTCATGGTTATTGGAGAAACTTCTAAAAATGATGTGCTATAGTCAACCTGGCAATTTTTTATCTCATGGGGAAGAAAAAAAGGAAGTCACAATTTTCATAAACCAGTTTAGTGTGACTTTGCATCAAATTGGTGCTATAAAATACTCTTCCTAAGATAAGACTTATTACTTAGTTACTATTTGAAGAATGATCTACCAGACAAAAATAAACTTATGCTCAATACCTGAAAGATTTCAAAATCTATACCAATAAAATGTAAATTAATGACATTGTAATATAGTCATAGTAGTAGATAAAAACACAAGAAAGGAATATATTAAGTAAACTTTATGTCCTTTAAGTAAAACTGCAAACTCCACTTGCTTCTCTAAAAATGCGAACAACTAGTATTCTAACTATTAACATATCTTTCATTTACCTCTAAGAAAAAATACAGATTTTACTAAATTGTACTGATTCTAATTTGACCAAGTATTGTCTACCCAAACCCATTTTGGCTTAAACATGTTCTCAGTGAAAAGTAATCTTCAATAAAAACATGTATATTTGTTGATGATCTGTTCCTAATTTTTGTGACTTACTCTGCACCACCTCAGGGTTTTTGAGCTAAAAATCAATTTTTTTCTCTTTTCCATTTTAAAAGTCACAAATGACTGGAATTTCTCACATGCCAAATACTGTGCAGTTTTTACCTGGGTTTATGAGAAAAATATTTTTTTTTTAATTTCTTGAGCTTTAAGAAATAAATAAAATATGAAAACTCACCTTGCTAACTGGTTCATTTTCTGTGGTCTCCAAGGCAGCTTCTTAATATAAAATAAAATTTAAAATGATGGAGATATATTTATCAAGATCCCACTTTATTCCACAGTAGATTAAACAGTAGGTACATGAAAATGTATAATACAACAAAATACTTGTTAATTAGTACAAAATAACTATAAAAGTGACACTGAGTTTAAAAAAAAATTTTCATTCTTTCTGAGATCAAAATTTCATCTTAAGAGATATAGTAAAGACATGAATCATAATATTCTTAATTTCACTTAGGTATGCCATTGGTAATTACAATAAATAAATGTTTTGGGGGGGAAATTAAGTATTTATTTTCTAAAAATTTTAATTTTCCTTCCACCTTTAAACATAAAAGAACAAAATAAAGTTCCTATTGACCTACCAGAAATAGCTTCTTTAGCACAGTTTTCAGTGGCTTTGGCTTCCATACTGGTCTTTACTTCAGAGTTTTCTGCATGAAATAGTCTGCTTTAATAGTCTAGCAAAACACTAATATAATTAAACTAATGAACCTAAACAGGAACTTAAACTAGTTTATTTTGACATTTCAAGTCTCCTCAGGCTGACCTGACTTAAGTCAAACATTTCTCTTTGAAAAACAAAACAGCAATCCCCACTTTGATAATTTTTAGGCAAAAGATTCAGAATATACCTTTCAAGATGATCTAAATAAAATAAATGGACACACAGAGAGGAACAACACATATTGGGGCCTACTGGAGGATGGGAGGAGGGAGAATATCAGGAAAAATAACTAATGGGTACTAGGCTTAATACCTGGGTAATGAAATCATCTATACAACAAACCCCCATGACCGATGTATACCTATGTAACAAACCTGCACATGTGCCACTAAACTTAAAATAAAAAGTTAAAACAAGAAAAGAAAGCACTGAATGACCACATTTCAAGCTTACCTGGTACAGTAGCAGGTTTGTTAGAGTCTTTGTTTTTGACATTCCCAGTCTTTTTGGCTTCTAGAGACTTCTTTCCACCAGATTTTGCTAAAAGTACAGTGAGCCATTTATTCTAAAGGTCTGTTAAATCATTTGGCGTGTTTCACACTAATGTATAAGTAAGTTAGTTTGACTTTATTACAAATCAGCTCTTTTCAAATATTCAGTATTTTTATTTATCTTCAGTACCTCTTTCCCAGTAAGATTAAAAGCAAATTTAAATCAAAAGACAATTTTTTGGTGATGCCCTTTAATGAGCCACATGTTTAACCTTCATGTGGTAGATTAACATCAAAATCACACACGCTAAATAAAACATTACTATGTAATTTCTGCAAAGATTCTTTAGGATTAGTCTACTAGAAAAGATACAACTAAAAAGATGGCTCTAGTTCCAAGGTGCTACATTTAAATAGTGTTCCATTTCTTTACTGGAAAACAAATGCACTCCTAGCATAATCTTTCTAAAAGTAACAAGCATCTAAGAAATTGTACAAACTGGAGATAACAATATGAACTGACAGCTCTAAAAAAAAAGGGGGGGGGGGGTGGGAAACAGGCCGGCGCGGTGGCTCATGCTTGTAATCCCAGCACGTTGGGAGGCCGAGGCAGGCGGATCACGAGGTCAAGAGACCGAGGCCATCCTGGCCATGGTGAAACCCCGTCTCTACTAAAAATACAAAAAAATTAGCCGGGCGTGGTGGCACACGCCTGTGGTCCCAGCTACTTGGGAGTCTGAGACAGAAGAATTGCTTGAACCCAGGTGGAGGATGCAGTGAGCAGAGATTGCGCCACTGCACTCCAGCCTGGAGACAGAGTAAGACTGTCTCAAAAAAAAAAAAAAAAGGGAAACAAAGATTAAACCATTTGATGGAGGGAAATGACAGAGCAATCTGTGATTGCAAAGCTGTCAAAAAAACTAGTTATATAGCTATGTGTGTGTGTGTGTGTGTATATATATATATGTGTGTGTGTGACTGTTTACATGCACAAAAATTATCTGCCAAATGCCAAAGTAGCAAAAAAATTCCAACAAAATGGGTCAGGTTTTAAATATCAAAGAAGTATCTACTAAATTCTTGAAGTATTAGATGCTAACAATTATTATATGAATTTAAAACATGAATAAAGAATAAATAAAATCTCTCCTCCCCAGTAGTCTTACCTGTTTTGATTGAAGCTTTATTACCTTTAGCAGCTACTGTTACCACAGATTTTACAGAACTTGCTGATTTCCCTAAATCACAAAAGCTACAGTCAAAACTGATTTACTTGACTAGTATCAACAATCCTCAACCTCACACAGAAAAAAATGTAAGAATAGACTCTATTTTATTCAAAATATAAAATACTATAATCTTTGGGGGCATAGGCTGTTTTCTAAATCTAGCAATGATGGTAATTTCTTCAGAAAAAAAGAGATCACTGAAATAAGAATTCACCTGCCTACTGAGGAATAGATCAAACACCCCTAATCTGAAAATCCAAAATCTGAAATGTTTCAAAACCTGAAACCCTGAGTGCTGCTGACATGACACCGCAAGTGGAAAATTCCCACTTAAGTATACTTAAAAAAAACTTTGTTTCATGCACAAAATTATTAAAACATTGTATAAAATTGCATTCAGGCTATGTATACAAGTTGTATATGAAATAGAAATTAATTTCACATTTAGACTTGGCTCCCATCCCCCAGTATCTCGTTATGTATATGCAAATATTCCAAAATCTAAAACACTTCTGCTCCCAACCATTTTGGATAAGGGATATTCAACCTGTACTTAAAACAGCATTCATGCAAGTTAAATAAATTCCTGAATGTGTGGATCAACAAGAAACAAAATTACGAATTCCAAGTACATAAAACAATCCCATACAAACATTTAGCAAGTCCAAAAGCAGTTAAACCTAGATCCTCCCAACCCATGCTTCCATGGCTCCTAATTTATTAAAATGCGTTCAAGAACACTTATATCCTGGTCAGAACATATAAAGATTGTTTTAACTCATCCCTACAGTTTCCTAGCTGTACAAGGCTATTTAAATTGCTCTGACCATTATTTGTACCTACATATCTATTATTATGGCCTATTTTCCAAGATGGTACTATTTATAAAGATGTGATCATCAAAGTGTTGCAGATCGTCAGCCCAAACCTTTTCCATTCAGAAAGAAACATATTTAACTCTGAAATTAGGATTCATAACAACTAGGGAGAATGGATGAGGAAAAAGCCCAAGATAAAAAAAAAATCAATAGATCTAAATTGAATTCCAATTTGTATCAAGAAGCTTTGGGGCACTAACAGATTTGTGTACATATTTCCCTAAATATAAGGATGGTGATTGCCAAAATTACCTAACAGGAACATCGTAAGAATACAATCATACTTTTAAAAATACAAAAAAAAAAAAATTCATTGAACATCTACAAAAATCAACCGAAATAGTTTACAAATCCACCTTTTATATTCAAGACGGTCCATAATCTTTGCTCAAAAAAGAGCAATACAAATCCTTACAGCAATACAAATCCTTACAAATCACACCCAACTTGTCAATTCTTCGTCATTCATGACTTTTGCCACACTGTAGTAAACTGAGCCTCAGTGAGCCCTTAAGATTTTTTTTTTCACTATCCTATGTTATTATCACAAGTCAATTCATTTTATAACTTCTATCTGGGTACTAGGACTTAGGGAAAAAATAAAAAATAGCCAGCATTAATTTCCAACAGCAAAGGGGTGGCCATCAGTGTTAGAGCCAGTTTACCACATCACAAATGACTCCCATACACTTAGTATCAAAGTAACATCAAAGTGTTAGCAAAATTAATGCAGCTTCAAGAGAAGTTTCCTAGCCACCCATGATCCACTCAAATTACTGCTTCTCAGAAACTACTATATGAAAATTCTGAAACTGCCACTAACAATGATTTTTGCCAGTTCAAGGCTGTTTCCTTTCCTTTTTAATATTATATGAAAGATTATTTGTTTATTTATTTACTTCAGACAGAGTCTCGCTCTGTCACCCAGGCTAGAGTGCAGTGGTGCGATCTGGGCTTGCAGCAACTTCTGCCTCCCGGGTTCAAGGGATTCTCCTACCCCAGCCGCCTGAGTAGCTGAGATTACAGGTATGCACCACCAGCTCCTGGGTAATTTTTTTTTATTTTTAGTAGAGACAGGATTTCACCAGTTGGCCAGGCTGGACTCGACATCCTGACTTAAGGTGATCCACCCCGCCTCGGCCTCCCAAAGTGCTGGAATTCCCAAATGTCTGCCTGATTGGGAAGGACTTCTCAACCATGCCCGGCTCCAAAGATAATTTAATACATTGATCTCTACCCATTTAAGAGATGACCCTGAATTAATGAAGGTTTAGTAGAAACCAGAGAAAAACTGTAAAAGATTATGCAAGGGAAAAGAGAAAAAATAATTACTTAAAATCCCACTGTAGCTCACAAAAACTACAAAGGATCATGTTTATTATTTAAACTATCGTGTAAAAGAAAGCAGGAAGAAGAGAACTTGATAAAAGAAAAAGAGGAAAATATGTGTTACTCATCGTGAGAAATATTTTATCCAGTTAAATGATTGCAATAATTACTAAAGAGCATTATCTAGTATATACCATTTCTCTAAACTGCTAGATGATTATAAATCTTAAAGATTAGCATGCATTTAATACAGACTACATCACATGAAATCCAAGACTACTGCCATATAATTATTAAATAAATTAAAGTTAACTGATAATCTAGAATCCTAACCTTAAAAAAACATACCTGCAGATTTGTTTACTTTGGCTACAGATGCCTTGGTTTGTCCAGTTTTGGCTAAAATAACAAGAAAAACATTTAAGTACTACATTACAAATAACATCATTGGGCTTTAGTTAAAAGTCAACCTAGTCATAATTTCAAAGGAACCCTGCAAAAACACTGGTATACTCACGTTTGTATGTCTATGGAATTATTTATTATGGGGGCAAATTCTTAGATATGAAGTTGAAGTGTCAAAAGGCATACAGATTTAAATTTTAACAATTAATATTAGACTGACTTCCAGAAAGGCTGGACTAGTTAACAGCCCCATCAAAGAATAGGGATTATTCCCCATTTCTAAACACACACAATGTATCATGTCAAAAGCCTAACATAGTAATTAACATGATCAACCTTCCCAATGTAAAATAAAAACAGGTGGGATTAATTTTTTTTCTCTAATTATAAGTGTAGTTGCATCCACTTTCATATGTTTAAAAGTCATCTCTACTTCTTTCTCTATAATCTACCTAATCATACTTTTCCAATTTATATTTTGGGTTATTGAGGCTTCTTACTTTTTATTAGAGTTCCTTATATAAGAAACTTAATCTGTATCACACAGCTTAACAATTTTCTTTAAAAAGACACTCAAAATGCTTATGCGTTAATACTTTTTATGTAGTCAAATGTCTGCCTGCTTGGGAAGGACTTCTCAACCTAAAATTTTACAAAAATATTCTTCACACTTAAAGAATACTGTTACCATCTTATGTACCATAGTAAATCTTTGATCCAGCTGCAGTTTGATGTAAGTGCTTTTACTTTTTTTTTTTTTTTTTGAGACAGTCCTGCTCTGTTGCCCAGGATGGAGTGCAGTGGCATGATCTCAGCTTACTACAACAACCTCCACCTTGCTGGTTCAAGCGATACTCATGCCTCAGCCTCCGAGTAGCTGGGTCTACAGGAGAGCACCACCACTCCCAGCTAATATTTGTATTTTTAGTAGAGATAGGATTTTACCATGTTGGCCAGGCTGGTCTCAAATTCCTGGCCTCAAGTGATCCACTCACCTTGGCCTCCCAAAGTGCTGGGATCATAAGCATGAGTAAAAAAAGTAGCTAGTTAATGGAATGCATAATGAATCTTTTCTCCACTAATATGAAATATTAACATAAAAATTTTCTTGGCACACACTGCAGGGGAACATGGGTAAAAAAGATAAGAGAGTAAAAAAAAAATTATAAAAAAAAATTTACTGATGTCCCATATGTTTTGGGAAACATCTCTGGACTCGCTTCTGTTCTACTTTTTGTCTATGTAACTATATGAAACTATTCTAAATCTTTTAACTTTGTAATATATTTTAATATTTATTATGGATAGGCTGTTTTCATTGTTTCCTTTAAAGAATTGTCGGCCAGGAGCGGTGGCTCAAGCCTGTAATCCCAGCACTGTGGGAGGCCGAGGTGGGTGGATCATGAGGTCAAGCGATCGAGACCATCCTGGTCAACATAGTGAAACCCTGTCTCTACTAAAAATACAGAAATTAGCTGGTCATGGTGGCGCATGCCTGTAGTCCCAGCTACCTACTCGGGAGGCTGAGGCAGGAGAACTGCTTGAACCCAGGAGGCGGAGGTTGCGGTGAGCCGAGATCGCGCCATTGCACTCTGGCCTGGGTAACAAGAGTAAAACTCCGACTCAAAAAAAAAAAAAAAAAAGAATTGTCTTGCCTATTCTTTTATGTTAATTTCTTATATAAACTATCAGCCTATGTTAATTAAAAAAAATTTTTTTTGCTATTATTCTTTATGCTTCATATATAAAGAAAAAAGAGGTTTAGCTGGACGAGATGGCTCTGGCCAGGAGGATGAGGTGGAAGAATCACTTGAACCTGGGAGGTAGAGGTTGCAGTGAACCTACACTGTTTAACTGTACTCCAGCCTGGGGTGGGTGGGGTGGAGGAGGGAGAGGCAGCAGCTATGAGGCAGAGGCGGAGGAGGATGAGGAGAAGAAGGAGAAGCAGCAGCAGCAACAGTAAAGAAGAATAAAAGAAAAGGCATTTTATAAGGGTGAGGCTTTCTATCCAAGAATGTCATTTTTTTTCATTTAAGACTCATTTTATGCCTTTTAATATTTTAGTTGTCTTTAACTTCTACCATTTTTATTACTGTAAATGGACTATTTAATGTTAGATTACCTAAAGAGGTCTTCTTTATAAATAAGGCAATTAAACTTTACATATTAGAGAATTAGGATGTGTAATTATAATAAAATAGCATCTTATAATTGATTCTCTTGGGTTTTCCATCACACTATCACATTTGCAAATAATGGTGTATCCTACTTTCCAATTTTCCATGCCTCTGTAATTACATTGTACTGGTTAATGGTTATTAGTTTTAAAAAATATTTATTTTAACTCATAGATGTGTTGATGCATATTCTTGGTTCCCAACCTCAATGGGAACGCAACTAATGCATTATTAAGCATATGCTGGCTTTTAACTTATGTGCACTTGTGTATGTATGTGTGCATAAATAAGAGTATATATACACAAATACACATATTTAAGGAACTAATTGTTTTGTTTGTTTTGAGACAGGGTCTCACTCTGTTGCATAGGTTGGGATACAGTCGCACAATCACAGCTCAATGAAGCCTCAACCTCTTGGGCTCAAGCAATCCTCCCACCTCAGCCTTTTGAGTAGCTGGGACTACAGGCACATGCCAACATGCCCAGATAATTTTTAAATTTCTGATACAGACTGGGTCTCATTATGTGGTCCACACGAAGAATTCTTTTTTTAAATGCTAGAAATGGATGCTGAACTTAATATCCTTTTCAGTATTTATGGTAAGGATCATACGTTCTTTTTCTAATATGGTAGAACTGAATTAACAGATTTCTTCATTTTGAACCATCTTTATACTTCCAATATGATTCTCTCTTGTGCACAAACCATTATTCATCTAAAGTACTCGCAGATACTATGTTAAAATTTTACATTAATATTTCTAAATAGAATTGTTCTCTAGTTTTAATCTATTACAAAAGCTGTCAGCATTTTAAAAATATTTCTTCAACTTTTGAGATAATTGTAAATTCACATGGAGTTACATGAAATATGAGGGAGAGACCCCCTATACCCTTCACCCAGTTTCCCTCCAATGATTGACACTTTATATAACCATAGTACAGTATCACAGAGAGAAAATTGACACAAACAGATTTTACTCGTACTGAATGCAATGTGTACTTAGCTCTGCAAAATTTTATCACAGGTGTAGATTAGTGTGACTGCCACCAGCCAAGATACAGAACAGTTCCTTCATATCTCTTCTAAAACCCATTTATAGCACTAGCCACCTCCTTCCCACCAACCTTTACAATCACTAATCTGTTCTCTCTGTAATTTCATTTTAATGTGATATACATGAAATTGTATAACATAAAACGTTTTAAAATAACCATTCATCCATTGAAGAACATTTGGCTTGTTTCCAGTTTGGGGCTATTATAAACAAAGTACCCATAAATATTCGTGGATAGGCCTTTGTATGAGCCTGTTTTCATTTATCTGTGATAAGTGGACAAGCGTGTACATGATAAGCAACATGGTAAGCACATGTTTAGTTCCTGTTAAGTTAAAATTTCCATACTCTTTTCCAGAATGGCTGTACTATTTCACAACTGCTCTTGCACATAATGTATGAGTTTCTCTGCATACTCCTCAGCATTTGGTGCTATCATTACTTTTTATTTTATCCATTCTGATAGGTGTGTAATGTCTTTGTCAGTATTTGATGTATTAGCCTATTTCCCCACCCTTTTTCATTCCCTCTTTTATAGGAAGCTGTCCCTTCCCCTGAATGCCATATTATAGCTGAAATTGATAGTTTCCTCAAAGATTTGGTAGAACTCACATGTGAGAGTTCCCACAGGTGAGCAGAGTGCTTTTATTGGGGAAATAACTGACTTAAGCAAACCAAGAGGTGATCTCTGGATGGTGTGAATCACTTCTTAAAACATTTTCTGAAATATTTTAAACTTTTGACAATAAATATTTATTACCTCTATAATTAGATTTAAAAGAAAGTCATTTTCAGCTGGGAATTGAAAAGGCAAAAAGAAAAGGGTACACATTATTTCTAAAAAAGAGAAAAGCCATAAAATCTTACAGAAAAATCATTCGATCAAGTTAGTTTCATCAGAGATGAGCCTTACAGGATAAACTGGAATCTGTCCCCCAACACTCCCCCAAAAAAGTCTTAACTGACTTTTTATCTTTAGTACCTTGTCTGGGACCTATTAAGTGCTTACTAAATAAAGTTATGTGAAGTCAGACATCAATTCCACGCAAATAGGCAGCAAAAATAAACAACCAAGGAATAAAGTAACATGGAAAATAAACTATTCTGAGTGGCTGAAAAATAATACACAGTTGACTACCAAGGGGTTTAAAAGATAATCTGTAGTCAAAGGGCTAAGAATAATTTATGAAAAGACGAAGAATTTGGACTTTTTTCCATTGATTGCTAGAAGGAGAATGATCAGATCTGTTTTAAAGAGACCTCTGGGCAATAAAGCATATAATAAAGTAGTCAGGAAAGTCTTCGAAAGTTCAAATGTGAGAGGATAGGTCTGAATGAAAAGGAGTTGCCGGCGTGATGGAGCTATGTATAAAGAATCTGAGAGTTGAAGCAGATTCAAGGGAAAACTGATATGGATCCGCCACTGACTGGCTGAAAAGAAGAAGGATGTTATTTAAATCTGAATTATGTCAGACAGGAGAAAAGAGAAGACAGGGTTAAGAATTACCCTACAGGATGATTAGTGGTAACTGTTAAATAACATAAGAAAATGAGAAGAGTATACTTGAGGGGATATAAGAGTTTATGTATGTATGGGAGATGTCCTTAAAGACAAAGAGGAAAAGGTATCATCCAGGAAGAGGGCCAGGAGCAGTGGTTCACACCTATAATCCCAGCACTTTGGGAGGCCAAGGTGGGCAGATCACTTAAGGTCAGGAGTTTGAGACCAGTCTGGCCAACATGTTGGAATCCCATCTCTACTAAAAACAAAAACCCAAAAAATTAGCCAGGCATAGTGTTGCATACCTGCAATTCCAGCTACTCAAGAGGCTGAGGCAGGAGAATCACTTGAACCTGGGAGGCAGGGGTTGCAGTGAGCCAAGATCATGCCACTGTACTCCAGCCTAGACAACAGAGTGAAACTCCATCTCAAAAAGAGAAAAAAGAAGAAACCACCCAGAAAGAAAAGCATGATGTGAGAAGAGGAACAGATTGATAGTTAGGAAAACTAGAAAGGCAGGAGAAAAGAAAAACAGTGATCCAGGAGATCAAGAAATTTTCATTCTTGAGGGAGGTAACTTAGTATATGCATAAAGCTTTGGAATCAAAAAGTTCTGAGTTCAAATTCTAACTCTTCCATGTGGCCCTGAGTGACTCACATAAACTTTCTGAATCTTATCTCTTCTGGAAAGTGAGAATGATATATTTTTTTTAAGATGGGAGTCTCACTCTTGTCACCTAGGCTGGAGTGAAGTGGCACAATCTTGGCTCACTGCAACCTCCACCTCCCAGGTTCCCCTGCCTCAACCTCTGAGTAGCTGGGATTACAGATGCCCGCCACCACACCTGGCTAATTTTTGTATTTTTAGTAGAGATAGGATTTCACCATGTTGGCCAGGTTGACCTCGAACTCCTGACCTCAGGTGATCCACCCACCTTGGCCTCCCAAAGTGATGGGATTACAGGCATAAGCTATCAAACCACAGCCAAATAATATTAACTGTAACTCAAAGGACGGTTTGAAAGATTAAACAAAGTAACATAAATACACTATGTGCCCAGCAAAAATATCACATCCTCAAATGTTAGGCTCCTTTTCATTGTTTTCTCTCTTCTGGTACAGATTGTGTTGGTAGGCCTGTCTACTTATAAGTAATTTTTACCTTATTTTGTGCTAAATTCTAACTCTCAATCAAACTAATCCCCCAAAAAAGTCTTTTTGCTGCATCACAATGATGGCTTCAACTAGTTTCCTGAGTATAAAGAAATAGCTTTCAGCACATGAGTGTGATAACACCTATTTCTGGTTAGTCTTTTTTGTTTGCTTTTTGGCTCTCAATTAACCTCCAAAATCAAAGGGGACCAGATAAGCAATCTTAACATACCTTTCTTATGTTTTGTCTTGTGGGTTTATCGGGAGGGGATGGAGGGAGGTATTGCATAACTAACCTAAACATGTAAAAAACAGCTATTAACTGTGGAACTATGATAGACATTTCACATATATTATCTCATAGTTTTGTTATATTTACTCGAGAAGAGATTCTGTAATTACACAGCACTAAATTTTAACCACCTGCTTAATACAGGGACCAATTAAAGAACGTAATTGGGATCTCTTTCATTAAAGTACAACAGTGCCTTCCAAGCATCATCATCTAAGTTTCTATTAAACTGACAAGACACACTCATTTGAAAGAATATTAAAAGTAACAACTTACCAGCAGAAGTTGAAGTAACAATTTCAACAGCTTTTGAAGCATCTGTATCTCTTCTATTTAAAAGAAGAAAAAATTTAGCAGCAACTTAGGAATTCTAAGTTCTACAAAATCCTAAAAATGTAATATTTACACCTAAAAACATTTAAAATAATTCAAATGGAGTGATGTCCCACTTAAACTGTAGTTATGGTGATAAAATATATTAAAAATGCAGTTTTAAATATTAAAATTTCTTAAGTCAAATACATATTCATTCTAACACATGAAATCATAAAGTCACTTACTTTAAGGTAGATGCAGATACTTTCTTTGACTCTAAAGCCTTTTTCTTCACCTCTTTGTTCTGTTTAGGAAAAATATTTTGAACAAAAGGAATTTAGTAAAAAGCAATTTAGAAAATATCGAATAAGAAAAATCTAAAATCTTCCTAAAGTATACATGCTTATTACCTTTTTCTATTTATAAAGACATTTTTTTCCATTTTTGATTACACAGCCTAATTTTACATCTCATCTTTTACAACTCATCTGCGTTTACTTACCATTAACTGCAGCAGTCTATCCCTATTCAAGACCCCCCAGTGGATGCCTTCAAACAGTGCTAGAACTGAACCCTATATATGCAATGTTTTCTCCCTGTACTTACATGTAAGTTTAACTTCTAAATTAGGACAGTAAGAGATCAACAATAAAACAGAACAGTGCTCCCTTCAGCAGCACATATACTAAAATTAGAATGATACGTATTTAGCATGGTCCCTGTGCAAGGATGACATGCATATTCGTTAGGCATTCCATATTTTAAATTTAAAAAATAGTAAGTTTTAACAATATAGTGCAATAAAACTTACACGAATGTGGTCTATCAAAATATCTTACTATACTGTAGATCTTAGCAACTTCCGCATACAATTTTTTTCTTTCCTTAATCAAAAACTTTCACCTTTTCATCTAAAGGAAGCATTTTACACCCTCTCTTTGGCCTATCCATATTGCCAGTATCACCGTACTTGTATTTTAGGACCATTATTAAGTAAAATGAGGGTTATTTAGACACAAGCACTTCAATAAAGTGACCGTTAATCTGATATCCAAGACAGCTATTAAGTGACTAATGGGCAGGTAGCATATAAAGTGTGGATATACTCTGGACAAAGTAATGATTCACAGCCCCAGTAAGCTGGAGCTGGACCGCATGAAATTCCATCATGCTACTCAGAATGGGGCACAATTTAAAACATGTTAATTATTTCCGGAATTTTCTATTCAACATTTTCAAACCACAGTTGACCACTGAAATTGCAAAGCCAAGCCTCAGATAAGGGAGAACTACTGTTTATCTTTTAATAACATAGTTTCTTATAGCACTGTGACATTTCAGATATCTAAAGTGCAACTGCTATCACCCTGGTCTAACCTACTACCATCTTTTGCTTTGATTACTACAATTGCCTCCTAATGATCTTGGTGCTTCAGTCCTTGCCATTCTACCCTCTCTCTAATCACACAACATAAAACTAGAGTGAACCTGCCATTCCTGAAGTCAAAACTTTTCATTAGATTCAAGGAAAAAAACCCAATACTTAACAAAGGCCTCTGAGAGTTTGAGAGTTTGTAACATATGTTCCACCTACCTTCTCCCAAACCACAACACACTTCTTCCTATCCTTCTTCACTCCAACCCCAAGCATCCTTTCTACTCCTCAAAGCTATACCAGTATTGCTTTTGCAGGTGTTATTCCTTCTGTCTGGCACGCTCTCAATCCAGGACATGGTTTGTTCCCTCACCTTTTTAAAGTGTTGTGCTCAAGTATCACCTTTTCAATGAGATCTTCCCAACTACCTTATTGAAAGCTGCACAGCTCCTCACTCCCTGTAAGAGCACTTCTATTCCCATTTCCTGGTATTTTTCACCACAGTACTTGTTGAAAACAAACATAATATGCATGTATTTTAAATTTGTTTTCTTTCTCCCTACCCCTTGAAGTTAAAACTCTGCGAGACCAGGGACTTTGTTTTCTTCGGTATTCTATTCACAGTGCATAAAGTCATTCTTGAACATTCAGTAAATATTTGTTGACTTGATCTGAATTTCATCATAACTGTTCTCATGGAATTTTACAACTCCTGTTCTTCTTGGGTATTCTTGTCATTTCCTTTGGCACTATAGAGGATTTTATCCCACACGTTCGTTCCCTCAATAATTTAGAAGAAATTCATTCTATTTCTATTCCACTAATGGTAATTTTGTTTTAAATTTGAAACTACTAAGTTCCAATGTATAAGTTGAAACATTTAGCCTTTAATCCTTGGCTACATTCCAATTTTTGATTATATATTTTAGATAAAAATTATCTTTCTAGTAATTTTAAGTGATTTTTTTGGAAATTTTATAAAAATAGGATTTAGCTTTTAGTCTATGTTTAAGTGGTTTCATTATTCACTGACATTTTATATATTAACTTCTTCAGGCCGGGCACGGTGGCTCACGTCTGTAATCCCAGAACTTTGGGAAGCCAAGGCAGGCAGATCATGAGGTCAGGAGATAGAGACCACCTAACACAATGAAACCCCATCTCTACTAAAAATACAAAAATTAGTGAGGCATGGTGGCACATGACTGTAGTCCCAGCTACTGGAGAGGCTGAGGCAGGAGAATCACTTGAACCTGGGAGCTGGAGGTTGTAGTGAGCCAAGATCGCACCACTGCACTCCAACCTGGGCGACAGAGCAAGACTTCGTCTCATTAAAAAAAAAAAAAAATTTCTTCTCCATTTCTTAAGTTCTTCATTTTAATGTTTTGGAAGAACATGTATTAGTGAAATATCTTCTAAGCCCATGCATGTCTGAGAATAAATGCTGTCCAAACACTCACCTTAGGATTCCACTTAAAATGAATGTAACTGGCTATAATAACTCACAACCTTTTTCACAACCTTTTTCCCAACCAACTCTCAAGAACGTGTTGTTTTACTAAGACTAGACCATTTCTTTGTATAAACTGTTTTCCGCCTAGATCACTATAAGGCGCCCCATCATAACCATGAACTTTAAAATCCTCAGTATTTACGTGATGTCTATTGAGTCTGATCAGCAGACTCTGGTCGAGTGACAGATCAAAAATTACGCTGACACAGGTTTTTGCCTGAGAGAGCACAGCTGGGGGGCTTACACAGCTTGGATACCGCTCAAAAGAAAGTGTGACCATGTAGCCCCAACAAGCCAGAGAAGCTCCTCATTTATTTAGCACAGATTTAATAACAAAGGTCTTGAGTAAACACCATTCTGGGTAATTAACATTGCTGGACCCCCACCCCCACCCCCACCCCAGTAGAACTGCCCACGCAGGAAATAGGTAAACAAACTTATTTAGGTAAATTCCTCTGTACACTCCCTTGTAACTTGCTCTTTGCCCTAGCCCCAAGATAAGAGAATTTAGCCACCTTCAGACACAATCCTCTCCTGAGGCTTTTGCAAAACCTTCCGGCCTTCCAAGAAGATTTGCATCTTTCTCTATAATTTTTCCCACCACCCTGACCAATCTCCTACATCTCCCCCTTTTCTGTTTTTTTGCAACAGGTTTTGTTGATTGAAGAGTACAGATGTGTGCAGCAACAAGTTTGTCAGGCACAGCAGTTATAGGTCGTGTTCCAGTTTTGTATCCTAGAATTAGTAAATAACATAAGACAAACATGAGTATAATCAGTAATATTCTTTTCCAATCAAGGAGTGACCCCGAGGAGTGGCGGTCAATCCAAGAGAGATGTTCTTGCGTACCCTTCCATATGGCTGTTTCTTGGGCATGTAGACCTGGCATTTAGAGATTCTAGAATTTTAGTTTTAAGTTGCTTTATGTCTGCTGTAAAATTATCATGTAAGATTCCCCAGAGGTGTTGTTTCTTTTCATCCCAACTATGTATTGATTGATTCCAAGATAGAGAGGTGACACAGATATGCTTATGCTCCCAGTCACAATTTAATTGCTGACAGAATGCCAGTGCCTCTTGTCGTTCCCCTACATATTCCAAGGCAGCCTCAAGAGCTTGCAAACGTGTAAGAATCTTGTGATCTATACCTTGCTGTAAGAGGAAGGAGTTCATTAGACACATTTCTGGCCAAGTTATCTACAAAAGTAGCTGTTTGCACTGATTCAGTAATAGATGCTACAGCCACACTAGCAGTTGCTAGGATGACTATGGCTGAGACTATAAAGGCTATCAGAGTAACCACGAATCTTTTGTGTCTGACCTGGGATAGGGCATGTTCTAAGGTGGCAAGAGCAGAGGAACCTTGCCAATTGTGTATCAAACTGACTGGTAGGAATGCTTCAGATTGTCTCCTTAAAACCATGACCCTAGTAATATTTAAATCAGATATACTGTAATTAGGATGCATGAGACAAACCAAGCCTGTCCTTGGACTTGGGTAACAAACATGGAGTTTTGTGTGTAATGAAAATATTGGTCCCCATAAGGAAAACATATGGATGAGTGGTACAAACTAGGCACTGGTCTGTGTGATTATGAATAAAGGTCATAGTATAATTGTTATGGGAATTATGTTATGTCCCATGCCAGGTGTTAAGAGGGTGCTAAGATGTCCCAGGCGCCATAAAGTATACTGAGGTGGCATGGACTCTACTTGGGGTCTGGGATATCCCATTGGCCCAAATCATAGGGGAACGGGATGTAGCTATGAAACTGTTACATGATATATGCGGACATCATTATGACTGCCCTGCAAATGACCATGGAGGCTCTAGTCTAAGATGTTATAATTGCCTATCAGTGAAGGCTATTAGTGGAGGCTATGGGCTTGTCCCTGGTGACAGACCCCCCAACCAAAGTGGAATCCATTACTTTCCCAGTTTGGTTCTTTAGCACAGGCAGGAGTGTTGGAGAAAGTGGCAACTGTTTGCACTGCCCAGTTTGAGGCTATCAGCAACCAAGAATGTTAAGGCACTTTTCTTTTATAACTTATACACAGTGGGAGAACAGCAGAGTGATATATTGTGTTACCCGGCACCTAGTCCAATGTGTGCCATTAATGAGGGACCCCACTGAGGGTAAGTCAATCCGTCCCAGCCAAGCAGTTATGTTATTAGAGGCTGGGAAGGGGGTGTGTGCCCAGGTAAAGGGTGAAAGAAAGGCGAATCTAAGAGATGGGCCCAAAACAGTATAGGAGGTACAGGCTGCAGAAAAAGCAAGAGTATAAAAAGGATAAATACCCTATGTGAGTTGCATTGTACAATAGAGGGCATAGCAAGGAAGAAATTATCTGGAGTGAATGGTTTCTGTGTCTGGAGCAAGATTTGCTCAGCCTCGTAAGCTGCCTTCTTCAGCAT